GAAATGGGGAAAGAATAAATGTAATGAGAAAATGCAAACCGAAAATGTATTTTAATGGTGGCCATTCTACGATAGCATGACTAATATAAATCGAAACTACTGATGAGTCACCCTACGGATTAACTCCAATTTTAATATTACTTACCACCCCGGGCCATCCTCTAGTAAAGTTCTGAAAAATCATTTTCAGATGGCACCAGGCAAAACCTTGGGGAATCCCAATGCCTCTTTCTTTGAGTGTACTAAGTAGGGACAGAGTTCACCTGCTGGTTCCTCTCTGCATTCTGCCTGTAGCTAAAACTAAGAGCATTAGGAGAAAATAGTACCTTGTTTTCAAAATAGGAGCTCATGTTTATTTTTATTTGTGCTGTGAGAAATACGTTGGAAAGACATTGACACCACCAGCAAATGCTTAGTTGACAAGCTAACTAAACTTGTCCAGAAAGGCAGCTTGAATGGGTATTAGAACTGGGAAGTATTGTACTTTCAGTTGATGGCCCCTTTAAGGAGTTAAGTTTCAGATTATGTGGACAGTCCAGTGATTATCAAGTCAGAAGTCCAGTGACCTCTGAGGAGATCAGAGAGGAGAAATCAACCACCATCCTTCAGCTTAGGCCTCAGTTTGTGTTTCGTTAATGAATAAAAAGGAAAGAGTCAGAGTTCAGTGATGGATCCACTAAGCCTGTCACAAGTGAGCACAGGCCAGTCAGACAGGCCAAATAGCTTCTGATAAGGAAAAGTGTGGAATGGGGAAAGAACTATTCCTTGGTGTCAAAAGACTTGGGTTCAAGTTATGAGTTCTACCACTTACTTGCTTTGTGATCAATAGAAGGTAGCTAACCTCTCTGATCCCTCAGTGCCCTTCTCCGTAAAATGGATATTGTAATAATAGGAAACAACTGTTTTATATATGGCAAAGTGCTTTGTAAACCGTGAGCTGTTGTTACTCTGGGATTTTTGCACTGCCAGCTTCAATAAAAGCAGCCTTCATGTGACTTAGGACACTTCCCCCTCAGCTCTCCTTTAGATCCCACCGTAGCCAGGTCCTCAGTAAGTAGGTGGCCCTCACTGAGCCTTGAATAAATAGGGCTCTCTTGGCTCAGCAAAAGCCCCAGGGCCTCCTCCATCCAGATGCCTTCTGGGGCACTAAGTTGGCCAGCTGACCATACAACTGTGAATCTGAGACAGGAAGCTGCTGATAGCAGTAACTACCTATTTATAAACTGATAGCTCCTGAAACTTCTGTGCTAAGACAAGCCTTTAACTGCACCTCTGAAAGAAAAGAAAAACCCATCTCCTACCTGATGCCAGCTAATTTCCTATAAGCCCTAGATATTCAAAGTGTGATCCTCGGTTCAGCAGCATCAGAGAGCATGTTAGAAGTGCAGACTCTTAGGCCCCATCCCAGATCTACTCAACTATTTTAACAAGATCCCAGGTGATGTGTTGCACCATCAAGCTGTACTCTGACTCTACAATAAGTAAAACGGCAAATTGACAGACTCTTCTGGTCTAGATTCCAGTAATAAGCTATGAGAGACTATGAGCCCTCTGGCTGGGCTCTGGGGTCCTCATCTCATAGGGTGGGGGCAGGACTGGATCTGTGTTTCCAAGCGAGGTCTGGGGTACCCCAGGGCCTGCATAGAGAAGCATCTCAGGGGCTGCTTCAGGGGTAGAGAAGACCAGGAGGTGGAGCCTGTAGGGAGGGGCCTCAGCTCTCCCACCGCTCTTCAACTATTCTACTATATCTCTTTCATATACTGGGCTTCTCCATATAATTAATTTGAGAAAAGGATTCTGTTGTTGTTTTTTTTAAAAAAAAGTTTGGTCCCTCCAGCTTTGAATTCTCCTGCTGATTTGTGTGTGTCTGGTCCCAAAGAAGGCTGAGGCTACTCTCTGGTGGAAAGGAAGTAGCAGTACGACCTGGTAGCCTAGAATCTCTGCCCTGATTCCTTTCATCAGTTCAGAAATCATTTATTGTTCACCTGTGTGCCTTGGAATCAGTGTGCACAGGGTTTACCTTCAGGCACTGGCTTCCTCCTGCACGTGATCTGCATGATTGGCCCAGTGGCACCTTTCAACACGACTGTGAGAGGACCCCCTGCCTTTAGGAGCCCAGCACAGTCCAGGCTCCCTCCTCACAAGCCCTTCTCTTGTTGGCTTAATTCCCCCTCCTGGGCTATCTACCATTTCCCTCTCCTCTACCCTTACCCTGATGATTCCCCCTTCCTTAAGCATTTATTGAGTACCTACTATAAGAAAGACTCCTTGTTACTATCCTTCACATACAAGGATGGATATGACATAGTCCCAGCCCTCAAGGAGACATGTCTGGCTGGACCAAACTCCCTGAACTTAGCTTCTTGTCTAGTTAACCTGAGGCTTCCTTCTCTGGGACCAGACCTCTTTCCTTTGCTGATCCCTTGAGGATCTATCCAGATCCATCATCAGACAGATTTCTGCAGGTATGAGCAAGCAAGATTCCTTGCTTGGTGTATTGGCACCAAGCTGATAGCTCATTCTATAAGGAAGAGATCAAGAAACCTGTACAGTAGAATCAGAATTTAAAGGGAATTGAGCACCTTGGCCATTGAGGCACAGAATTAAAATCCAGGGGGAATAAAGGGCATGCTCTGTAAGTGGACATCTAGGTTGTTTCTAACTTTTTGCTATTTTAAACAATACTGTAACATCTTTGTGGATATCATTATCTCCATTGGATAAACCCCCTGTATGTGTGACTGCTGATTCAAAGGGTGTGTGTATTTCAAGGCTTGGGATATATTTACCCAAACTTTAATGTGCTTCCATACATCTAAAACTAAACCTGTTCTTTTCTCCCAGGCCAGATCTGTTGAGATCTGAAGGCATCCCCAGCACGGAGGTGGCTCCCGCTGCATCCCCTTTGTCCGGAAGTCCCAAAATGTCCACCTCAAGCAGCAAGAGCCGGTATCGGAGCAAACCACGCCACCGCCGAGGGAGTAGCAGAGGCAGCCATAGTGACTTTGCAGCAATCTTGAAAAACCAGCCCGCCCAGGAAAATTCACCCCACCCCACTTACTTACACCAAACTCAATCCCAATACCCTTCCTTGCAGCAACAATACCAGCACCCCGCTCCTGCCGTGTCTCAGAGTCACCATCCCAGGCTCAATATGCACGGACAGGACATTGCAACATGCACCAACAACCTGAGGTACTTTGGCCCAGCAGCAGCCCTGCGGAGCCCACTCAGCAACCATGCTCAGAGACAGATGCCTGGCTCTAGCCCTGACCTCATCTCCACAGCCGTGGCCGCAGATTGCTGGAGAAGTTCTGAGCCTGACAAGGGCCAGGCCGGCCCGTGGGGCTGTTGTCAGGCTGACCCTTATGACCCCTGCCGCCAGTGCAGACCAGAACAGTGTGGGTCCTTAGACGGTCCCCCTGCTGAGCCAGCGGGGAGCAGCCCCGACCTTTTCAAGTCACCAGCACACAATCTCCTCTCAGACAGTGCCCAAGGTTCTGAGAAAATGGAAGAAACTGAATTCAGCAGCTGTAGGTCTGCCTCATCTCTTGGCGTCCCTCATCACATCACCCCCCCAGTGCTACCTCGAAAAACAAGGCCCCTCCAAAAGGTAGGTGGTGATGACAACAGCAGCGTGTGTAGCACTGCCTTCGTGGAATGTCAGAGCCTATCATGTTATAGGTGTTATGAAACATACGTAAAAAGTGTGCATTTTGTAAAAGGATGAGATAACAAAAGCGTAAACAGAAGCTTCTTGTACTTGAAATACTTTCTTTCCACACTGCTGAAGTAATGGACTAGGTAGGGAATACGCTTTGGGAACTGATTCAAATGTATATAATTTATAAATAGACCAATAACCATATATTAGGGATATGTAATCAGAATACTTTGGAAACCTCTTCTCTAGCCTAATCCTAAGGGATGTTGCAAGAAGGAAGAATCCCATTATAAACACAGTATTCTCTGTCCCCTCTGGGTGATTTTTAGTGTACATTAACGAATCCTCGGCTTTGAGAAATCATGCAGTAACCTTGTTTAATCCGGCATACCCCTCACCTATTTGACCATACTGCCCTTTAAACATAACATCTATCAATGCCCCCATGGACTAGCTTTCTTCACATTGTATTTTGGAAAACATTGCTGTAATTGACAACCATCATGACCCAGCCAGTTCTCAGTCATGGAAACCTGTTCCTCTCCTTGCCCACTGGCTGTCGGGGGCGTGATAGCTGGGGCACAGGCTACCATAGTAGTTAAGACCACAAGCTTGGGAGTCAGACAGACCCGAGTTCAAAGCCAGGCTCTTCCACTTAGTACTTCTGTGAACCCTGGTGTCCTTGTCTATAAAATAGGGCTAATAATAGTGGACCCTGCCTCATTGGTTGATGTGAGGAGTAAATGAGTTAATACATGTAAGGCATTTAGAACAGGGCCTGGCAAACAGTAACCTTCCAAAAGTATGAGTTCATCTTGTTAATGAGTTAAAAATAAGACTAGGTATGAAAAGTATTTAGCACACAGTAGATATCCACTCAATTTTAAATATTGTTTCTTATCATCATCATTATTCATCAGGAGTTTACTTGTAGGAATGAAAGTGCCTAAAATGTAAATAAGTATGTTTTTTGGTCAGCTAGACATTTAATAGAAAAGAAGTTAAAGCTGAGGGCTACTATCTCAGAACTGTATTTCTTTCCCTACAAAACTTAGTCAGCTGCTGCTGACTAAGCATTCCCAGAGAGTAAACTGTGTTTCAGGATTTGGGCTAATCCATTCTCTGTTCCCTCCACCCCTCTGGCCAGTCACATGTATTTTTTGGTAACAACTTTATTGAGATATAATTCACATGCCATACAGTTCTCCCATTCGAAGAGTACAACTCAGTTCTTTTTATTCAGAGTTGTACAATCGTCACCACAACTAATTTTAGAATATTTTCATCACCCCAAAAAGAAACCCTGTACCCTTTAAAAATCCCCCAGCCCCCTCCCAAGTAATGTGTATCTTTGGACTATCCCAATGCCATTTTGATGCCATGTATGGGTCTGCAGCCCACAGAACACACGCCTCATACATTTGGTCTCATTAGAACCACACTCCCACAGAGCAGCTCAACTTCTCTCTGCTGAGATACACGCCCACGTGTACTCCTGCTCATCTCAGCGTTCAGGATAACTCCATCCCTGTCTTTCCTACTCAGAAAGCATATCAGAATGCAAGTGGGTAAGGGTGACAGTATTTTTTTTTTTTAAGATTTTTATTGGGAAATTGGGGGGATGGGAACAGTGCTGGGGAATCGGGGAAAGGGGAACAGACAAGTTGCTGTCGTTTTTGTCTTCAGTCTAGTTGTGGAGGACGTTGCTTCACTGGCCCAAGTTGGCACCATCATTGCGCTCTTCTCTGGCGAGGCAGATCAGTCGCCGGCTTCTGGACGGCCGCTCACTGCGGCTGCTGGCCGCTCACGCTGGCTGCTGGCCACACACGGTAGCCCACGGCAATCCACTGCCACAGGGACTGCAGCCCACGCCGTCGCCGGCGACTCATGGCAGCCCAGCTCCAGGTTGAGCTGTTGTTCAGCATCTTAGCTGTGGAGGGCAGCGTCACCGGCCCTCACATGTGGGATCCGAACCGGGGCCCTCCGGCATCCCAAGCGAGCTCCCAACCATCGCGCCACTCGGCCGGCCCCAGGGTGACAGTATTTTAGAACTGACTTTCAAAGTAAATTACCCTCAATCTTTGGTACAATTACTTGGACCCAACTACCCACCTCACAAGGGATTATAGTAATCCAGGGCATCGTGACGCTGTGGCTAAGGACAGTTGGTCTTAGTGTGGCTGTTCCTGTGCCCTTGAAGAGATGGATCTTCCCTGTGAGGGAAGATCATCTTCTCAGACTGGACACTTTCGAGCCTTTCAGATCAACCACAGAGTGCTGGTGGTCACGAGGCCTCAGATGTCTCTTCTCCTGCCAACATGCTGACTCAGTAATGTACTAGCACATTTTGTATGCAACATTGTGTTAATGGTGGAGTGAAGAATATATGGTCTTGACCCTCAAACGATGTATGTCTTAGTAGTAGAGATGATACAAGCATAATAACTATAATATTAGTGGAAAAGTGATTTGTACATAAAAGGGGAAAAGTAATTGTTGAGCTCTGAACAACTGAAAGATCACTTCTTGGTGGAGTCTCTATGACAGAGCCTGGAACCACTAGTGACAATAATGACAAGAGATCACCCCAAAATCCAAGACCTCTTCTCCAGTTTCCCCTCTCTGTTCACTCACCTCTGGATAGTTTCATGGAGGCTTCACCTCCCTGAAGACAAAGATAACATTTTATTCAGCTCTGTGTGTCTTCCAGCATCTAGTGCAGAGCCCATCACCATGGACATCCAGGAAAAGTTGCTAAATGAATGAGTGAATTCATTTAGTGAAAAGTTGCTAAATGAATATATATGTTTAAAGATAACAAGCTACTACTCAATGCCTTTTGATGATAATTAAAACTTTACAAGGACTCTGTGTATGTGTGTGTGCACGAGCACAAATGCGTGAGGGGGAGAGAAAGAGAGAGAGAGAGAGAGAGAGAGGAATAAAACTTTTTCTTTGTGTTCCTCAGAGTGGAGATGACTCCTCAGAAGAGGAAGAAGGAGAAGTAGATAGTGAAGTTGAATTTCCACGAAGACCAAGGTAAAAATCACCAGACGCATGTGATTGCTTTCAGTGTGTAATCGGGAAAACCCTAAGTTTGCCCCCACTTCCTGTTCAATTGTGGGGACTTTCTAATAACCACCTTGTAGGGAAATTTGAACTCACTGTGTTCCTGGTTTCCCATTGCCACGTTTTAGCAACTGGCTATGCACTGCAAATCCCAGTTCATCAGAATTCATTTCATAGGACCTTCAAGATGAGGAGCATAAATATAGATTCATGGTTACAATTGAGAATATAGTGGGCAGTTTATGAGGGGTGGCCATGTATTTTATGGATAATTTTATTGGTTTCTAGGGTACCTCCCTGTATGAGTCTGGGCTGCCATAACAAAATACCATAGACGGGGCAGCATAAACAATGGAAATGTATTTCTCACAGTTCTAGAGGCTGGGAAGTCCAAGATCAAGGTTCCTGGTGAGAACTCTCCTCCTGGCTTGCAGACTACAGCCTTCTTACTATGGCCTCACATGGTTTGGGGGTGGGGGGAGGGTTTGAGAGGGAGAGAAAAAGAGATAGAGATCTTTCTCCTCTTATAAGGCCACAGTCTGATCGGATTAGGGCCCCACCCTTATGACCTCATTTAACCTTAATTACCTCCTGAAGACCCTGTCTCCAGATTCAGTCACACTGGAGGTTAGGGCGTCAACATGTGAATTTGGGGGGTGGGATACACAGTTCAATCCAAAGCAGTCTCCATGCCTTGGATGTTATGCCTCAAATTAATTATAAATAGATGAGTTGAGTCTTCTTTAACCCAGCCTTTGAAAGAGCGTCTTGCTTAGCCATCGACAATAATTTTGCTTGTAGGATTAAAAAGGACCACACACCCCTACTTCTAGAATAAGCTGCCCCTATGTAGGGGTAGAGAATGTAGTTTTCCTCCCAGGAGACCTTTCGTTCTGCTAATAGGTATTTCATTCTTGAAGAGTAAAGCTCTAAGAATCCCTGGAAGGTTTGTATACCTGCCCAGAAACAGGGATTCCCTCCAAACCAAGGGACTCCTACTCCTTTGGTAAATTGTATTCTGGGTCCCCACTCTGTGCAAAAAATTGAAATCTGTTCTCATTCCCTGAGCTATTCCTGCCATGTTACTATTGCTGTCTTACTGTCTCTTTGGACACTCTTTTCTCCTATGCAGTGAGACTGAGCCCGAGCAAAATGTCTTCATTCTCTGAACTCATTCTACTGGCATCACAACGATGTTACTTCCAGCTTTTGTTCCTATGACACACCATGAACTCAGCCCACCTAATGGCTTCCCACCTTTCTTTTTTGCTATGATGCAAATAACATTTATGTTTTTACTGCATGGTTTTGCTTTGTATATTATAACATTCTTCTCCCTGTCTGCCTTCTGGATGACCAGCTGTGAGAAGTTGAGAGTCTTACTTTCACTTCCCTTTCCCACGTGGGTTCTTTCCATATGTCCTTTGCCCCACCCCCCAGCCCACCACCTGGCCTGGCTGAGATCATACACCATCCAAATCACTTTGTGTTACAAAATACAAAAAGATCAGACAACCACAGAGAGAAAAGCAGTCTTTTTTATTGTTTGTTTTGTTTTTAAACGAGTATGAGCTAACAGCATTCTTATTAGGCTACTTACAAACAATGGGAAAGAAATGAGGAACATTTGTAAATTCTCCTCCCACCACCCCCCAAACTTTGCCTTATCAGAGCTAAACCCAGATATTAAATGGAGAGAACCACTGACAGGTTGGGCAGTGCCCACAGCTGCACAGAGAATGTTCCTTCCAAGCTCACTTCTGTTGGGGATGTTGACAGGGGTGGTGAAGGTGCCTTCCAGGGCTGCCATGCCCAATGGACAGTGCAGCTGGAGTGGAGTGGAGGGTAGTGAAGGACCCTGAGTGGGATGGGAATAGACCCGCCCAAGCCGCTCTACCTTTTCTGATGATGTGGGCTGACTGAACAAGTCACTTCCCTTCTGTGGGTCCAGTTTTCTGATCTAGGAACTGAGGTAGACCAGAGAATTTCCAAAGTCTCTTTCAGCAGTGAGAATCTAGGATTCTGTGAATAAGAAGCATAATTTCAATTTGAACATCTCCTTGCCTTGCCTAGGTATACACAGTATGATTAGACTAGCTGATTTTTTTTCAAGACCAGTGGTAGCCGTCAGCTTTGGAGTTTGGTCACATAACCGTATAAATTTCCCTCTTTGTTGCTTTGAAATTAAATAGTTTCAACCTATCTGGATTTGAATCTCCCTGAAGGGCAGGAAAGAAACTAGATGACCTCTCACCAAGGCTGTGATTGACAGACGAGGTAAGGAAAGTAGTTGTTCCTATGACTAAGTTCCTCTGGTTCTTTGTGGTTCTAGACCCCATCGCTGCATCAGCAGCTGCCAGTCATATTCCACCTTTAGCTCTGAGAATTTCTCTGTGTCTGATGGAGAGGAGGGGAACACCAGTGACCACTCAAACAGTCCTGATGAGTTAGCTGATAAACTTGAAGACCGCCTGGCAGAGAAGCTAGATGACCTGCTGTCCCAGACGCCGGAGATCCCCATCGAGATATCCTCGCATTCAGACGGACTGTCTGACAAGGAGTGTGCCGTGCGCCGCGTGAAGACGCAGATGTCTTTGGGCAAGCTGTGTGCGGAGGAACGTGGCTATGAGGTGGGGGCCTCTCCTCCCATCTCTCTCATCATGGTTCCCTTCCTGTACCTCTTGGGTTACAACATGGTCAAGTCCATAGGGCCTTTACAATGATCACTTAGTATATAAGATACAACTGCCTCCATGAAGTCAGTAGAAGTGCAAAAATCAACAGAGCGCTCCAAAATGAGTGTAGTTCTCCCAAATGAGGCACAAACATTGAACTACTCAGGAACCATTCATCCCAAGATTTAACTCAAACATGTCATCCCGACCCCATCTCCCAACCTGGTTAAGGGTATGAGCCTCCCTCTTCCATGTCCCCACCATCCCCTTGATGATGCTGTCATAGCACATGTAACACTTTAGTTCAGTACTGCCTTTGGAGAGGCAGGATGGCATAGTGGTTGAAATTGTGTGCCCTGGAATCTGACCACCTAGATGCAGACCCCAGCTTTTGTATGTACCGTGTGATGTTGGGGAAGCCACTTCACCTCTCAGTAGATGAGAGTACCTTACAACAGTACCTGGGACATAGGAAACATTACATAAGTGGTGATACTGTTATAATTGTCATCATTATCTTTATGTCTTTTTTTCTATAAGCCCCACAAGGACAGGACCTGGTCTTATCTGTCTTTGTCGCCCCCGTTACCCACCAAGCCATCACAGTGCCTGTCATATGGGAGGTGTTCAATATATGTTTACTGAGTGATTGCAGGAATGAATTTAGGTTTTATTTTGTCTTGACTTTGCAGAATCCTATGCAGTTTGAAGAATCGGACTGTGACTCTTCAGATGGGGAGTGTTCTGATGCCACAGTTAGGACCAATAAACACTACAGCTCTGCTACTTGGTAATGAGAGAATACCCATCCTGAAGATCTCATGACTGTACCGGCATTTCAAATCCATCCCACCCCCAGACTCTTCCCACTCTCTCCCCACTTTTTTTGTCTGGGAAGAGAGCTGCCCCATCTTTCTTACCCCTAGAAATGAGCTGCAATAACAGGACCATGAGACTTCACAAATCTCTGGAAAAAATATCCAAATGAAATTAAGTCTCACTGAACATTTCAATCAAGAATGGCAGGGATCTATTTTACTGAATATTCTAGCTACTGTAACATTGATATTTATTTTTGTTTGACATTTTAACACTTTGTACTGTAAAGAGTGAACTATATGTGATATATAAAGAGACACAATAATTTCTTGAAAAAAAGAGAGAAAGTAAGAAAGAAAGAAGTGGAATATAGGAGCAACATTCTTGGGAATTTGTGGGGCCAGAAGGTATTATTGCTACTTGAACAGGGGACCAGTTCTTTTGTCCATAAGGGACTGAAGAAGAGCCAGAGCAAGACATGTTGAGCCTTTTAGAAAACAAAGAACAGCAAAAGGAAAGCAATTCCAGGTAACTTGTGAACAGACTGCATTAAATTCAACCAGCTTGTCCAGATGGGTGATGGAAATGACCTAGAAACGTTTGATGACAAGATCCTTGCACCCAAGATCTTTGAGGGCATGTGCTTCCTCTAGGAGGAAAAAGAAAACTGTATATGTGGGAGCTGGTTTCTTTTTTTTTTTTTTTTAATTTTAAGCAGCATTTGGTAGTGAGACTTACAGATAGAGTCAAACCTTGTCCTCGACAAATATTTCCCTTTTTAATGCTGTCATTGTCATGACCTTGACCATGTGTTACCTTGACCAATGTGCCATTTTCTTGTAGCTTATTTCATTTCCACCTGTGGACCAGTTTCTTTAGGGAAAACGGGGTGGGGGAGCTGAGGAGGAGAGAAAAATAAGAGAAAAAAGAAATTGACGACTGTGTTAGAAAAGCAAATGTGGAATTTGTACAAGTGCTTTGTCAGAATGTCTTAGTTCAGCTACATGGAGAAGATGGGATCACCCCTCTCTGGAACCAGGTTGCTTGTCTACTAGAGTGATACTGATTCAAACAGGAGAACAGACTTTGAAGGCAGCTAGGATGTGCGTGAGTTGGTCCAATGTCCAATCCCAAGCCACCCCCTTGTTTTCATTAACTCATTCTATCCTGGAAGCTTTAGCGACTGGCTACCAGTATCAGAAAAAAAGGCCAAATAAGCAACTTGCAAAAGGTACCCCATCTCCCACTTTTGTTAAATGCTATTTGTAAAATGTATTTTACTTCACTTTGGATCGGTGCGGTTTTGAATAATTCGATTCGGAAATTTGTGAAAAAAACAACTGATGCTGAGCAGCAATTGGGAAGGTTTTACATTGTCCAAAGCATGAGGTCCTTCCTGTCTCCAGAGTCATGGGCTCTGAAGAGCATCCCAGGTTACTTCATGGTGCCTCGGCTATAAGGAAATTTTTGTCTAGAATTTTATAGAAAAACAGCTGTTGGCCTAGTTCCTGTCTCTGTCTCCAAGATAGGTTACTGTCAAACAACCTCTCTAGGCTCAAGACCTGAAGAAGATAGATGGCCAGACTCATTAATAATTCATCACATTGGACACGAGGAAAGACTTACATAAACATGTATTATAGTAAACCATTTCCAATGCAGATGAAAACATTGCCCTCCTCTGGGCTTCAGTGATTGCATCAGCCAAAAAAGAAAGCCTGGAGGGAATTTAGAACAGTTCCTTTTGCTTGTTAGATCCCTCCATTTGTTTACAATTTATGTTGAGATATTGATTTAAAATTTAGTGTCTATAATTTATAGCTTAGGCAAGATGAAGAAAAATGTTTAACTTATACAGAGAGCAGTATTGTTTGCGTTAAATTATTCCATTTTGTATAAATTCTGTAGCTGGACTACATGAAAGATCTTAAGTTATGGCATTATTATCATTGTTATTTTATTTTATAATAATTATTATCATTCTCATTTTCTGTCGATCAGAAAGTGTGGTTTACGGTATAGCACAATGATTGTGTTTATTGCTAACCATGAATTATTATGAATTTTTATGATTTTCATGAAGGAATGAAAATGGAACTGCCATTTGGAAGCTCTCCAGTATTCATCTTAGGTGCATTCCCTCATTTTCTGTGAACAACAACAATCATCTGAGGATGCGTTTTCTGCCCTGGAGCCCAACGCATACATTGTGATTTTGACTTGATCATGAACGCTCCTGGGTGGGCAGGTGACTGAGTGGATGGACAAACAGTTCAAAAGCTGTAAACTTTCTCAAGTTTCTTAAGAAATAAAATCATGAGACTACATTAGAAGCAAAAAGAGAGTTATTTAATGCCCTAAGAGGAATGGACCTAGAGAGTTTCTGCATGGGACCTGTGGGTTAGACAGTTCCTGCCAGGTCCCACAAAATCAACCTGTTTTCTCCTAGTTGGGAGTAGCACGTAAACTAAAAAAAAATGAAAAAAAAATATATATATACACATATATATATAGAGAGAGAGAGAGAGAGACAGATATATATTTATATATGTATATATTTATATTTATGTATACTGTGTACTTCATGATATATATATATATATGGCATAAAATGCCTAGCTATGAAGTCATCCTGTAACAAGACTAGAGAAATTCTAGAAAGGCCTGCTCACTTAGAGGATCATAGGAAAAGTACTACCTTGAAAGGCCCTATTTTCCATCCTCTGACTTCAGACTACACTATACTATGAATCTCTCAGGTTCATTACTTCCAGGAAAAGAGAGGCTACAACTCTGTGTCCCCTTTCTGTCCAACACAAAACACCGACACTTCAGCTTATCCAGTTCTCGCCCACCTATAGTAGCAAAAGAGAAACCTGAGGGCCAGTGTCAGTCTTACAGCTTTCCGTCGTGATCTTCCTAGAAAATGTACACCTGATACCTCATAATTTTGGTAAGTTTTTTGAATTCCCATCTTGATTGACATGATACATGACATCATCTATCATGAAAATGCCATATACCCATCTGGATTAGCTGGGATCAGCAATGTTAGGGTAGCAGACAGTGTTGACTCTTTAGTCGTTCTCTGTATTGTCAAGAGGTGAATAACGTTCCACATTGAACATTTTCATTAATTTTTAGTAGGAGGGACTAGAGGCTTCAGAGAAGAACAGTCTTTAGATTAACAAGAGAAATGCCACTTCTATCCCAGCCGCGCCCTTCACCTGTCTGACCTGAGGGAACCAGGGCAGTTTTGAACTGGTGTGGGTTTCTTTGAGAACAGCTCCAGTCATCTGAAGAGTGCTGCATCCAGAGCTCAGGGAATTTAAGAGCTAAGACTTCAGTCCTGATAACTGCAACAGTGCTTTAAGGAAACTCATAGGACTGTGATTTCAAGCTTCATTGTTGACCAAAAGTTTGACCCCCTTGAAATGAATATCCTCATTCATTTAACATCTGTTTTTGACTGACAACCAGATTATGAATGTTAATTTGTGCTGCAGGTGAGCATGTGGTTTTGATTTCCATCTATTTCTAGATCATGTCCTTTGAATAACAATTCCTCCTAAAATTGCTTAGCAGAGAAACTGAGAAACCTGCACCCACTTTGAAATTATAACAGACCTTAAAGTTTAGAGCTATTTGCAAGACTGTGTGGAGCACCGACTCGGAAAGCTGAAGATGATCTGGTATGGCCTACTTGAAACGTAGATATTTTAGAACTTTAGTATCCACAAATCCATCCTTCTAGAATTAAGGATATTTTTAGTAGGATTTAATAATTACTTGACACCCATTTCAGAGCCTCATTGTGCTAAATTTCCCTCTTAGCCTAAGTAATAGATTTGACGGTTTGGGGTTTTCCTGGTAACAACCCAATTTTTAAATGCCTCCCCTGAGTAGGATGCAGTGACATCCTTTCAGTGTAAATGCATCCTTATTGATCAAACAATTTATTCTTTTTTCCCTATGCCCTTAGTCTCAATTTTTTCCCCTTTTCTTAAAATGTTCCTACTTGAACTTCCTGGAACTAAATTCTCCAAAAATGTAATATTTGGAAACCAAGGAATTCCCACCCTGCTCTGTAGTATGGTGGGCTATATTTTGTTTTGCCACTAAGCCAGAAACCAAAATAGCATGACATACCACCATCCAACATCTCTACTCTAAACACCCAAGATGGACGTTATTTACTGATCACCATATTCTTTCCTACTGAGCTGGGACACAGCCTCAGAACCTCTCACAACACAGCCCTGGGAGCACCAACTACCCCTTGATTAGAATTGAAGTGGAGACCTGTTTGCCATCCCAGCTCTAAGCTCGTAATTGATTTCCTAAAGGTGGTTTGAGATCTTGAGTTAGCCCTGATGGGAGAATGACAGGACCACACACACGTTCTCCCTCCGGATCCCACCCAATGGCTCTCAGGGGGCAGCACCATTGGCAGGAAAAACGCCACTTGCCTTGTATATTCACCACCAATGTTGTTACCAGGAAAAGCGCCACAGCTCTTGGGCTACAATTCCCATTGAATAATCTCCAGTCACATGAATTGAACTCCAAAATGTCTCCTGTACATCATTTCATTGTGTTAACTGAATATGTTCCTCCCTCGCCTTCCATAAAGTTAATGTTAAGTCCCAGTTACTTGCTTCTTCCTCAGACTTCCTCAGACCAAAACGTGACATTCTTCTTAAAACCCTGACTTGTACTGTCAGTATGAATGTAGTGCCTTCCTAGGCAGCAATATTTTTCTTCTTTGCTGATTTCATAGAATAAATGTCCTAGTATACTCACCACCGATGTTGCCACCCTCCTAGATTAGCACCTAAGAGTCACATTAGTGTGCTTGTTTGCATGTTACAGCCAATACTGCAAGCGCCTATTCAAACTGGAATGAACTAGGCTGTGAGGTAGGTGACCTTTGTGGCACCTGGAACACTTCGCAGGTACAGGTGGCAGAAGAGGGGAGCTCTGAAATCACTGCTCTGAGAAACAGGGTTACCCCAAAGGAATTGGGTTAAGGTGTTTGGTAACTGCCCCATTACCAGAGCATGGCAGGATTTCACATAGAGCCAAGCCCCCAACATATGGCAAGGCCACAGTAAGGAAACATCTGGCAGAATCACAGGCCTGCTCTCCAGAGCCACGTCACAGCACTCAGGGGAATGCTGGCTCCCAGCCCCAGGCTGCTGCCCAGTGACCAGGCAGACGGGGTCCTCCCAAGGTTGCAGGCCAGACCAATCCTAGCCAGAATGTGACGCTATCAGGAAGATGCCCCTTACCATGTCACCAGGGTAGCTCTACATTTTCCAGTGACCAGGTCTCAGACTCCAGAAGTGGGAAGGCTCACTTCGATTCTTTATTGCAATAATTTGAGTTCCTTATCAATTTGGAGCAAAGTAACTTCTTTTTTACGGTCAAGTCTCAAAATGAACTCCCTCATCTGTCTTCCCTGTGGTCTCCGGTACTGTTAGTTCCTCTGGTCCTGGTGCTGGTTGCTGATGCTGGCTTCCTTTGTACTGAACAATTAATTGTACAGCCATGGGAACAAGGGCGACTATCAAAGCAAACAAATGCATAGAATTAAACAAAAAGTGTGCTTCACTGGTTTCTGATCCTGTCTTTTCCTAAAGGTAATGGTTGTGTCCTGATGTCTGCCATTACAAATCTCAGCATTTGCCAAAACTTTAGGGAAACGAAGACTTTACATGATGGAGTTTCCTGCGAGAGAAAATGGGATGGGCAAAGCTGGTTTCTGTGGCTTTTTCATTAGACGCATCCACAGAAAGAAGACTCATCATTTCCTTCTGTTTTACAACCTCTTCTTAATTATTGTCAGTCTGGACATGCACTCTACTTCTTCCCTGTGGCTTTCCTGCTGCCCTTTTTTTTTTTTTTAAGATTTTATTGGGGAATTGGGGGAGAGGAACAGACAAGTTGCTGTCCTTTTGTTCTTCAGTCTAGTTGTAGAGGATGTCGCCTCACTGACCCATGTTGGTATGATCATTGCGCTCTTCCAGGCTGAAGCAGATGGGTTGCTGCCCATTGGACAGCTGGTAACGCCGGCTGCCGGCCGCTCACGCTGGCTGCCAGCCACTCACGGTAGCTCACGGCAGCCCACTGCCCTCCTGCCCATCTTACAGCTACTCCTCTGTTATTAGTAACCTCACTGTAAAGTGAGCAAAGAGGGAAAAGGTGAAAATGAAAATCTGGCTTCCAAAAAATAATATTGGTAAGACCCCTGAGAGTGGTGAGCTAAAACACCATTTTTAGATTGTCAGATTTTCATCCAATCCTGATTCCCATTGGCAAGGGGAATTGAAAGTCCGCAACATGTACAAACATATACGACACAGAACATTTAAATCCATTTATTTGGGCAATCACCTTGCCTTGAAACTCACAACTGATAAGGCATATTGTTGCAAATCATGGGGGAGGAGGGAGAGAACCTAAGGATCCTGTGAAGGGCAGAAGGTTCGCACTTGCCATAGTGTGGACAGCTTCCTTGTCTCCCTACTGACCACTAATCCAGACCGCCAAGAGCCACGGATTTCAAAGTCCAGTTAGCCTCCTCCTCGTCCCCACCCTCATTATCAAGCTTCCTTTAAAGCAACGCATCTTTATAAATGAAGTCCCTGTAGTGTTTTTTGGATCATACTATGTCCAAAAACAATGCTTGGGAATGCATTCTTCCCAAGAATGAGTATTCCCAAGAATTCATGTAATCATGTAAAATTCAATGTAAAAAAGAATTCATGTAAAATTTAATCGTGGCCTAGATTAAAGCCTTGGCAAGACTGTTGACGAAGCCAAATCAAAACCCAGCAGATCATACCCAAGGGGGATAGTTCTGGTAGGAAATGATGAGTTAGTTACTCCTATAGGCTACAGAATCCCATAGCTGGTCAGTTTAGGTGCCAAGGTCCTTCTGTCCTTGGAAGCATTAACCCAAGTCGGTGATAATTCAATACTGCAGCTGTAGGATGCAGTGACAGCTAGATAATTAAAATACAGCACAACATAGTAACCCAAAACCAAGCTTTTGGATTAAAAGATAAAATATAATTATTCCTGTTATTCTCAGCAAATGCAAATTCAAAAACATTCAGAGGGGACACTGGCTAATATCTGAGCACACTGAGTCCATTCTCCTAGCAGCAGGATGGAGAAAGGATTTCACACAGAAAGGAGATTAGAAAATGTACTGATGGTCATTTGGTTCAGGTGATTCAAGGGCTCTGCCCTGTCCAGATGGGTAAGAGTTTCTCCATAACATACAGAGCTTGCTCCATTCATATTTAATAGGCTGTTTGCAATCAGCTTGTCAGGACATGCAACCAAGAGGAAATGTGACATGATAACATCAGTGCATCTGAACAAAGAGCATCACAGAAACCACGGCGTTGGAGCTGTCTGTGGGAGTTCTAAGCAGTCTGTCAGCTTCTTTCCCTTAGTTCATGGAAGAGGTAGGTCATCAGCAAAAAACACACAGAAGAAACACTCCTCAAGACAGTAACAAGATGAAGAGTGATGTCAGTGACGTGGGCTCACATGTCATCATGTACACGAACATCATACACCACGGACTTAACGGAAGAACACGGGTCACAACAGCCTGTCACTTTGCAAGAGGCACTCTGGACGAGTCAGCATCCTCTCCAGAGGCAGCTCAGGGCTTGGCAAGAGGCAAAGACAACAGATTATCCTGAGTTCCTTGTTATTCAATAAAATATAAACAGGACTTTCTAGGTGGCCATCCATTTCACAGGGCTGCTAAACCAAGGCTGATTTGAGAACCTCCTATAATTCACCTTTTAGGGCACTGTTGTCCTTGATGACAAGACACTGCACACAGATGAAGTGTCCAAATCACCTGTTGAGGGGAATTAGGAAACAATGAGGGGCTGGAGAGGACCACACCCATTACACAAATAAGCAATAGAGTCCAGGGATACAGCAACCAAAAAATCCACATCACGTGCCCTTTCTACTATTTAGATGATTGGCGTTGCTTGTTCCATTCAAATGCAGGTCTTTCTGACTAAATTTTTTAATGAGGGTTCCAGGAACTAAGGCCACCAGAGCAATGGCCAACAGCTTCAGAACAGTTTCCCAGGAGAAAAGAGCATCCAGAGAGGTCAGGGTTGACAGGATGGAGCCTGTCTGCACACAGATGAAGTTGTAGGGGATCAAACCTGGGAGAAGAAAAGGGGAAGAGCCTGTTACAGGGGGGCGGGTAAAGGAAGAACGACCTTTCAGGAACGTCACCAGGAACTCACAACAACGACCCCAGGTCTGTTTTTTTCCCCAACTCCTAACCACTAAACATATTACCCCTTTCCCTTCTTCTTTTCCCTTTTTTCTCTTCTTTCTTCACTTCCCACAAATACCTGCCTTGTTCAACAAAAGGACTTGAGATGGTTTACAAAAATATATACACTACAATAAGATTAAAACAAATTTAAAAAAATTTTTACCAGGAAAAATGAGTGAAGAAGAATAAAATCAGGGAGTGCAGTTAGGACAAAATATGCATACGGTTAACAAAAATGCATTTGCTAGAGGCGGGCCCCAAAGAGCCAAGTGAAGAGGAGCACCAGCATTATGAAATTTACAGTTTGTTTTCAGAACATTAAAAACAAGCAAGTTTCTTAGAAGTACTACTTTTCATGTTCTATCCTGTTTCTAAGAGGTCATCCCATTCAGTGGATCCCAAAAGCCTGAGTGGTGCCTAGACAGGCTGGTGGCGTAACAACACTCTGGTGCAGCTGACAAAGCACCCCCTCAGGCTCCACCCTAGATTCTGGTTCCCTGGGTCAGCTGGAGCCCCAGGAGCCTGCATTTTAAAAGCCTCTCCCCTCCCCACCCCGAGATTCTGACTGCTTTGGGACCCCCTGACACCCCACTCCTCTTCTATAGATGATGCCTCAAGGTCGCACAGCTTGTCAGAGTGGGGCCTGGAAACCTGGTCCCCAGAGTGTCCAAGCTTTGTGCCTCCTAGGTTACAACAGGCTGCCAACGGAGGTACTAAGGCACTTTGCCTGAACGCTGATGTGACCAGAATTGGCTGTGGTCAAGTTTGCTTCAGTTTGAAAGCTCAATTTCTCCCAAGAATACCCTATTAATAGCAGCTGCTCAAACCCAGATTGTTATGTTTGGCCCAGAAGCCCTAAGTATTCTTTCCCTCTGTGCTCTAAAAAAGGTTTAAAAGAGGCAATCCCTGCCTGAGGCTTAAAGAGGATGCTTTGGAGAAAATAACAGTCACTGATTTTACAGGAAGTGAGCACTTTACCATTTTGATAAAGGTCAACCAAGGCCCATACTTTGACAAACACTGCTCTAGTCACAGCCCCTCCTCTGGCCAGGTGGCCTATTGAAGGTAAGTGGCTTGCTGAAGGTCAGCAATTGTCAAAAGGCAAGAAGGAACTTCACTGGTACCAGCTCTTCCTAAGGCAGATCTTAATCAAAACAGGGACCAAAGACAGAAAGGAAGTCCTTTGCTCCGGTCCTTCCTTCTGCCCACATACCCTCACTCCAACCCTGCTTTTCCTGCTAGCATTTACTGCGCACCCACTATGGGCTAAGCTATGTGTTTACAGATTACTTTTGCAATCCCAGTACCTAGCACAGGCTTGGCACACAGCAGGCACGAATCACAGTTGTGGAATGAACAATCCTATTTTTTCCAAAAGTATTTTTACAGGGTTTCTGGTTCAAGCCTGAGTAGATTTGAAATCAGCATTTTTGGTAATAAGCCCTGAAGACGCTCTTCATGAGCCTGCGCTGGCAGAGGCGGCACCTGCTAACCCAGGACAGTCCCCCAGCATGACAGCTCTAAAGACGCAATTACTCCACCAACTTCTTACCGATAAGAACAGAGAAGAAGAACTGCACGATGGGAATGTTCAGAATCGGGGCTGAGAGGTTCAAGAACCAGTTTGGCGTCATGGGGAAAAGTCTCAAAAACAGTAAGAAAAAAAACAAGCTGTTTCTGTTCTCCTCCACCTGTAGCCAAAAAAGACAAAGTCATTAAGAAACGAAGAGTCTCCAGATATTGAAAACCTGTTGGTGCCAGGCACCGTTCTAGAAACTTTACATATTCTGTTTCCGAATCTTCCAACAACCCTCTAGGGTAGAGACCATTTTCCTCGTTTTTAACACAGAGGTAGCTGAGGCTCAGAGAAGTCAGAAATTTGCCCAAAGTCACAGAGCCGCTAATAACAGAGCTGGGACTTGATCCCAGGTCTGAGCCTCCTGACGACATCAAAAGAACGCCTAGGGCCTCAGGAAGTACTGCAGAGGAGCCGTGTGGGAAATGCCTGCCCCTCACTCCCCTCGGGGCCATGAGGTGACTCTCTGGGGCCCAGCACTCGGATGTGCCCCCTCCCCTTACCTTCTTCTGCAGCAAGGCCACTTTATTGGGAAAGTAGGAGACCACCAGTTGTTTGCCAAACATACTGGAGAGCAGATAGCAGCATGTGGCACCCGCCGAGGTCAACACACAGCACAGCAGAAGCCCCAGCCAAGGCCCAAACAACGCGCCAGCTAAAACATTCTGCAAAGAAAACAAATTCTCAGCCTCCAGAACATCTGGCAGCAACCAGTCACCTTGTCCTGGAGCCCAAAGGTCATAGGTTCCCTCCACCCTCCCAGCCAAAACCTAACTCTCATTTTAAAGAAGTGAATGAAAAGTGATGAAAGCGCTGAGAACTACAACCCTGGCTTTGGTCTCTCCACCTTGAAAGCAGGGATGAGGATGAAAACCTCAGAGGGCAGGAGAGAATTAAATGGGAAAATAGGGATACACAGCACCCAGCCTGCCATGTAGGCTGTGATAGGTCCTGCAAACACTTCTCGGTGCTCGGATAAGGCAGAAATGAAACTTACAAGTTATTTTTACCACTTTAAATGAACACAAACCATGAATTTTCCCCAGTGAGACCACACAAGTTATATACAACATTTTGTTTCTTTGCTTTTTGCTGGAATTGCATCTATGTGGTATGCTAATACTGGGGGTTCCATACTGACTAGAGCTCTAGCTGACACTCAAAAAAAAAATCTTAGATGAACAAAAGTGGAAAAGTGAACCAATAGATCCTAAATGTAGTTTGGCTGGTAGACATCATCCTACCAAACATGGGATCCAACAGAGAAAGTAAAAGGGGACCCTGGAAGTGAGATGGTGAGGATCAGCTGAGCACCTACTATATTTTAAGTGCTGACTACATGTATTATTTAACCCTCATTATGACCTTGGGTCCTATGATCTCCTTATCCTATTCTATGGGTGAGAGATTAAGTATCATGCCCAAGGTCACACGAGGCAGGGATGGGATTCACCCCCGTGACAGCTGGCTCTCTGCTGTGAAAAGGGATCAGCTCAAGAGGGAAGGCAGGTACAGGGCAACCCCAATGAGTCAGCCCTTGACCTCAGGCACCAAACACTTCTCCTGTCTCTCTTGGCATGGACACGTATGCTTTCCTTCCAGTTTCCAACAAAGAAACTGCTTACACAGATCCAGCCTGAGCCTGAAACAGAGAAAAGATGCTGGGCCAGGAGAGAAAGGCAGGACAGGAGGAAGCTTTCAGGGTTTCCTGCTCCATCACTCAATCATTCAACAAGGGCTAAGGGCCACTGTGTACCAGGCACCATTATCATGCCGGCGCCTCTATACAAGTTTCATTTAGTCCTCCCATGCGACAACGGTAGGGGGTTAATAGGAGTACCCCCATTTTAGAGATGAGGAAACAGGGTTGGAGAAGTTAAATGACTTGCCCATGGTTACACAGCTGGGATCCAAACCCACCCCACATCTTAACATATACATACATTTACATGAACCAGCTTAAGATGCTGCTGGGAGGAGAGCAGAGATTATTCTATATAACCTGAGATGGCAACTCATGAGAAGCATCCAATAGGCAGAGCACAAGCTCAGGTCCAACACTGTGGCTCCACAGGGGCCGCCTGAAAAAGCGAAATGACTTGTCCTCTCCACACCTGGGATACTCTAAAGCCTAATATCACCACAAACAACTTGTGTTTGTTCATCAAACACTTAAGAAGGCACTTCCCTGCAGCCAGGCAAGGAATACAAAGGCTGAGAATAAGGAACAGGCCCTGCCCTCAAGGAACTCACAGACTAGTGAAGAAAACAGATTTTTAAAAAATCAAAATGCAGAACATTACAGGAGCTCTGAGGAGAAAAACCTGACCTAGCCCGGGACATGTGTGTCTCTCTCAAGGACAGCGCTCCGTAGCTCTCAATGCCTTAGAAACAAAAGCAGCATACCTGAGAGGAAAGGCAGACCCTAGAGCTGGGTGGACATGGGTTCAGACCCCAGCCCTACCCACTCCTCGCCTTGTACCTTGCACAGTTACTTAACTTCTCACCACTTGTTTCCTTATCTGTAAAATGTGGATAACAATGTCTACATTATAAGGCTGTTGGGAGAATTAAATAAGGTCATGAAGGTAAAGCAACTAGGACAGTGCCTGCCACAGGGGAAGCTGTCAACGAATGGAGCCCGAGGAGCCTGTCCTCTGGACTGTGTGATTTGAAGCTTCAGGGCCCCTCTATAAAGACAGAAGGTGGCTTCCTGACAGGCACAGAAGGGCAGGGAACTGACCAGGAAGCTGGAGCCGGGGATGGCAAAGCACTGTTTGTAGAGGTAGGCACTGCAGAAGAGCAGGAACACGTAGGCCTGGTGCTCCTTCCGGTAATCTCGAAGGACCTCGGAGAGCTCCCGCAGCTCGGCCAGGTCAGAGGGGAACCATAGTGACCTGGGGATTTGGAAAAGCAGATGGAAACATGAGTCCAGATCAACCTAGTACCTACGAAAGTCACTGTGCTATCGTCTTTCCAAAGTAGGTTTATAAATGTGCCCATCATCTGCTCTGCTGAGAACACACACATAATGGGAGCCCTGGATGATGGGTGACCTGATACAACACAGCAGAGCAGTCAGAAGAGCCCTGGTTTGGAAGCAAGAGACCTGGGTTAGCATCTGAACGCTGCTATTATACAGCTGTGTCATCCTGGGCTAGTCCCTGGGCCACAGTTACGTTTTCGGAAAAATGAGGGTTGGTGTCAGATAATCACTTAGTTCCCTTTTAGCTCTCAGGTTTTATGATCTATTCTTCAGAGGCAAATGGATGAATTTCCAGGCAAGCACTAAACGTCCTAAATTGCCTTCCTTTCAAGGAACACCCCTCCCCCACAAGCTTTAGGCCAAGGACAATTCAAACTTCACACTGTACTTGCGTTACTAGGTAAAACTACTGTTTTATCAGACACTAACAAGCCAATTAAAGGCCCTTCAGGAAAGCATATCTGTCCCACACCGTAAACATAACCTTCTTGATAACATGTCAGGCTTAAACCAACCCTTTCAAAGAGCCTGCTTCTTTTTTTTCATCCTGTTCTTTATCTGGTCCTCCGTGCACTCTGAATCCTGTACAAGGGTTACAGTGTAAAGGCTATTTTGCCTCTGCCATCTGAACAATCCTCGAATCCATCAGCGATCAATTATGAGCAAAACCTCCTAGTTCTCATCAGAATGTTTCTCTTAGCGTATCTGACACCCACCGCAAAGCCTTCTCAGCTAAAGCAAAAGAATACAGTAGCTTAAAACAATTGTCCTAATATTCAAATGTTAGTAACATCCCTGATAATGCAATGCTGTGCCAGGCACTCCCACCAACTTTTTACACATACAGTATGCGGCACTCACGACAAACCAGCCTGGTAGGTATTAATTATACCGCCTCCTGCCTCACCCAGTCGGTATCGAGAAGGGGAAAGGTAAAAAGCCAGGAAGAGGGGCGGGTCCCATCATTAATTCGTGAATAATTTCAAGTTGTCCAGGCAACGTTTCTCCTGAAGCCCGAATACCTTCCAGTCCCAAAGGCAGACCTAAGTGAGACGGGATGGAGAGGTGGACGGAGGGTAGCTGAGAGCAGTCGTGAAGAAAGGGCTACGGGTTCTCACAGAGGAGGGTCTGCTGCAAATGGGGGTGATGGCTGAGCCTGGGAAAGCGAAGGGACCGCGAACCGAGAGGCGCGCTACAGGCTCCGCCCCGGGTAAGGCTCGCGTTTCCCTCCGCAAATCGCCGCCCCAAAGGCACCGACCGCGCACCCAGGCTGCACATCAGCGCGGCCGGCAGCACGCAGGTCCCAGCCAGGGCCGGACCCGGCTTCCTGCCCGAGGCCGTGTAGACGCGGCCCGGATACCAGACCCCGATGTCCAGTCCTAGAGCTGAGCCCCAAATCCCGGGTCCCGACGCTCTCGATCGGGGAACCCGAGTCTCGGAGTCCAGACCCCATGCTCGAACCTCGCTTCCCTTCCTCTGACCCCGAACCCCGGTCCCCACCACGCACCTGCCTCCCGTCTCCTCGGCGGAGCCCAGTGTCGGCCCGCGGGGCAGTCGCGTCGACAGCAAGTACAGGGCGAAGGTGCAGCCAGCGAAGATCACGAGCAGGCAGAGCAGGGGGCGCATGTCGGCGCCCCGCAGCCGGACCCGCCCGACCAGGGAGGAGCCTGGAGTCAGCCCCCAGGGGACCACCCGGCGCTCGGACCGAGCCAGCGGAATGTGTTCGCGGACGGACCGAGGCGGGGCCTGCGCCAAGCCCCGCCCCCAGACCCAGGCCCCGCCCCGCCCCCCGCCTGGACTCTGCTGTCTGTGCCCTTGGGTACAGATTCCAACTGAAACCTGTCTTCCATCCCCCTCTGCGTGTGCCTGTCCTCCTTCCGTCTATCTTTTTCTACGTTTATCTCTGTTTATCTTTTTCTACGGTTCTCTGTTTCTTTCTCCACTTATTTGCAGGCTTTCTCCCAGGCGTTGGGAGATCCAGAGACGAATCATGAGCCCTACCCACAACGAACTTGCAGTCTAGTGGTCAAGACAGTCTTGTCCCCACCCAGCTGTAACACAAAGAAAATGTAGCCAGGGTAGAACCAGAGGCTCCATTCAAGTATGGTGAGATAGTCGCAGTGACCACGGAAATTATCTTTTACTGATGCGTACAGTAATATGCCCATTATCCGTAATCTTCACAACAATCCTGCAGGGTTCGTCTTCTTGCCTTTATTTAGCAGATGAAAACTGAGTCTCAGAAAGATTGACATCCTCCAAAAGAGAGCCAGGATTAGAATTCAAGTCAACATGAGTCCTAAGCTAGTCCTACACTGCGTGGATTCATGGAGGAGGTGGGGTTTGAGTTTACCTTAAAGGATGAGCAAGATTTCCACAAGAGAGAGAAGGGAGAGGGTGAGGTGGGGGTCCAAGTAAGGCCAGAGTCCAGTCAAGTAAGGTGTATGAGAAATGAGTGAGAAGTTGGGGACAAACTGGAAAGCATTGAAAAGCAGGCTAAGGAATTGGATTGTTAAATATTGTACAGGGTGCAACACCAGCAGAGGTGGTTAAGCAAAAGAATGATTTAGGGGCTGGTCGAGTGCCGTGTTGGTTAAGAGTTGGCTTAGGACTCCAGCACTGAGCAGCAGGGCCCTGGTTTGGATCCCACATGAGGGCCAGTGACACTGCACTTTCTACAGCTAAGATGGTGAACAACAGCTCAACCTGGAGCTGAGGTGCCTTGAGTCTTGGGCAATGGCGTAGGCTGCAATGGAGCTGCAGTGGGCTGCCATGAGCTACTGTGAGTGGCTGGCAGCCACCGTGAGCTGCCAAGAGCCTCCGTGAGCAGCCGTCCAGTGGCCGGCGATCGATCTGCCTCACCCAGGAACAGCGCAATGATAATACCAACATGGGCCAGTGAAGCAACGTCCTCCACAACTAGACTGAAGAACAAAAGGACAGCAACTTGTCTGTTCCCCTTCCCCAATTCCCCAATAAAATCTTTTTTTTTTAATGATTCAGTTCCCATTTTAGGATGTTTGCTCTGGCAGATGATTAAAATACATTCTGAGTTGATAACTGCAACTATCCTGGTGAGAAGGGATGCAGGCCTGAGCCAGGACAACAGTAGTGGGAATGAAGGGAGGAAAATGGACAGACTGGTAGGAGCTGAATTGGTAGCACATGACTGATTAAATAGAGAGGACTCCAAAATGTAACAAGCCTGACCAACAGAGAGAAAGCATCCTTCTCATATCATTCAAAGTACTTTGGGGGCCAAATAGGGAGTACCTGCCAGAATTCAAAGTGTGCAAGGTCTTCGCAATTCCATGTCCAGGAATTTAACCTATAGGATGCCCATAGATAGACAAAGATATATGTTCAAGGGTATCCTCTCAGCTTTGTTTGGATATTAAGAGATTAGGAACAACCCCAGGCCCATCAGTTGGGGACTAGTGAGGTTCATTATGGTATATTCACAAATAGAACACTAAGTAGCTTCCTAAAAGGTGGTGACTCAATATATTCTGATACAGTGCAATGGCCAGATAGATGACTAAGATACAAATTAAACAAGTACAGTGTTAGAATAGATACTGACTCATTTGTAAGGCAAAAACTGATACACTTTATCTTTTCAAAATACTGAAGTATTTATGAATGAAATGATTTAATATCTGGGATTTGCATGAAAATAATAGAATGGGAGTTTGTGGGAAGGGATATAAATAAAACAAGATTGTCCATTGACTTGATCATTGTTGAAGCTGGATGATGGGCACATGGAGGTGGATTTTATACCATTTTCTCTATTTCTGTATGTTTGGAATTTTTTATTTTAGAAAATGGGGGGAAATGATCTCAACCCTCCATTTTCTTTTTCTGCCTTCAAATCCTCCATTCCAGCTGAACATGCACCATATTAGTTCATGCCTCTGACAACACTCTTCCCTGCATCTGGCAATCTTCTCTGCCTGGAAAATCCCTACTCTTTCATCAACACCCAGAGCAATTGTGACTTCCTCTAAGAAGCCTTCTCAAGCTCCTATAGTTGGAAATTTTGTTCCTTCTCTATGCTTGGGGCTCCCTGTGAAGTGTCTCTGTTCCTATTATTGCAAATACTATGCCCCAGTTTCATTATTCATCACCCCAGTAGACAGTGAACATTTCCATAAGTGAGACAATGTCTCATCTATCTTTTGTCTGTTCCAATCCTTAGCCCTGTGCTTGGCTTATAATTGGCACCCAATAAATGTTTGTTAAATGAATAGGTCAGGTCTATCGAAGAAATGACTAGTTGGTTTGGTACATGTTGATTTTAAGAAGTCAAAGAAATATAGGAGGAAAGTGAATGAGAAACTAGTGTTATGGAGCCTGTGCCAGGAGTGTGCTGGGGCAAGGGACAGAGTAGTGACCAAGAAAGCAAGGCTCCTAGTCTCAAGGACTTTACTTTCCCTTTGGTTAGGGGATAGCATGGAGTGAGAAATAAGTATAGAACATGATAAGTGCCATGGAGGAAATAAACATAGCACAGCTTATTCTACTCCAGAGAAGCAAGTATCAGTATCCCATTTATAGATGAGTAGATGAGCATGTTCAGATGACGTCACTTTGCCAAGTCCACAGCTGTGAGTGCTGAACAGGACTCAAGCCCTTGTCTGCCCCTCCTGAGCCCGTGCTCTTTCCTCTGCCCTGTACTGCCTCTCAGCAAGCTGGTGAACATGAAGAGACTTGAAATGAAGGGAGGGGGAATGGTCTCCTAGGGAGACCATGACGGGGAAAGCAACAGCAGCTGCCAATGAGTGCTTAGTACACTCCAGACCCCACAGTAAGCATTTTACAGGCACGAATGTATTTATTCCATATAAGAACCAATTCTCCTGGCCCTCATGAAACAGGGACTCTTAACAGCCCCCACTTTACAGCCAAGGAAATGGAAACTTAGGAAGAGTTAAGTCAACAGATGTCACATACCAGCAGACACCAGAGTCTGGTCTCTTACCCCCCACTACCTTTGTGAGAGGGAAGACTAAAATCAGAATCCAGGTTAGGAAATAGTAGAACCAGTGAAAGAGAACCCAGATAGCTCATTCAAGGGTATTGGATGAGAAATGGGAGGTAGGGCCTGAGAGCCCAAGAAAGACTGTTAGAAAAGAACCAGTTCTCAGTGTCAGAGCCCATGGAAAAATCCAGCAGGGAGACCTGACTGCTGTGGGATTCAGCCAACACAAGGTGGTAAGGGACCTTTGACAGAGCTCTTTCAGGAGGTGCAAACCTAATTTTCTATAGGCTTCTACTCACTGTCCCTGACTTACCCCCTTAGACTTCTGTTCTTGCTCCTCCTGCTCAACTTGTTTGCACTCCCAACCCACCTCCACTCTCATCTCAGTCTCCCCAATTCTCCTGGCCCCCAAGCCAGCACCTGCAGAGCTAACTCTAACCAGCCAGTGTTCTGCCTGCAGGCTGCACCAGCCTCCATCAGGACCATTCGTTTACAGCACATGCCCAGGCAGCCTGACAAAGGACAGCTACAAACCCCACCAGCAACACATGCTGGACTGGGAAGCAGGTGGGTGCCAATGGCTCAAAGTGGGAGGGAAGAAAAGGCAAGAGGTTCCAGTGAAAGTGAATTAGCCAGGCACTCACCATGGCGCTTTGTCAATAGCAATCTACCTCCTTCTCTGGCTTAACAGCTCTGCATAGAGCAATTGAAAGGAGGAGCTCTGAAGACCGCGTAGTTTTACTTCCCCACGTCACTCCACATAACGGATTGGAACAGGATGGCCATGTTCCACAAGAGGAGGATCCAAGGGCCGGCTCTTCTCCCTGCACTTTGGAATTGGGCCACCTAATGAATGAGTGACTAGGGACCCAATGGTCCCAAGGACCCCAGTGGTCCATAGCTGTCCTGTGGAGAGAGCCAAGCTGAGTCAGAGGGACTCACTGCAGAGCACTAGGGTTGATAAAAGCCCATGAACTCTTGCTGCTGAAAGCTCAGCACTGCCCCCACCCATTCTTGTCCTTGCTGAGGTCTGAAGGTTCAGCTCTTCCTGGGTTTCTACAAGTAATCTCTTTAATAAAATTTGGGTTAGGATGAGTGGATTTCTGTTGCAGGCATCCAAAGTCTCCTTGGCTAAGATGGGTTTTGCAGGACTGAGAGCATAGGGCAGAGGTCCAAGGGTGGGAAGTCCTAAGTTTAGGGTTTTGGAAATCACGCAGTTAAGTGTGTTGATGTCTACATCAGTGGAGATGACTCCCTCAAGCTAAGGATGAATCCACCCCATTCTGTTCCACAGACATTTAGTGAGCACCAGCTTTGTGCCTGGCACAAAGTGCCATGAGCTAGGAGCTCCTGTGCTAGGAGCGAGGGCAGCAAAGACAAATAAGCAGCAGCTGCTCTCGAGGCACCCACAGTCTCGGAGGGGGTACAAACACAGAAACATATTACAATATGGCATAATAAAAGCAGTAATGGAAGCACATACAGAGTCGGTGGCAAAGTGGGTGGTGGAAAGGCGTCATGGAAAAGCAAGCAAGGTGGTCTTTGAACCACAGCTTGGAGTCACCTAGGGATGATGGAGGGTCCTGGAGGGTTTTAACCAGGGCACTAAAATGGGGGCGTGAGGGAGAGCAAAGTCTCCCAGGCTTCAGGACAGGTGGGCTTTTGCTGAAGAATGGTGTCCGGAGCATTTGGAAGGTTCGAAGAGTAGTAAAAAAGAAAGAGCAAACCTCTCTTTTTCCCAGGGTGCCTGGGAAGTGAGCACAGGCCTCTGAAGACAATAATAACAAAGGCGCCTGGGGGAGAAAGAAGGCAGAGAAAGGTGGGCGCCTTCAGGGAGGTGGGCTATGGCTGCGAGAGGGGAGGTCTTTACCTACGCTGAACTTGGTTCCACAAGGCTGACAAGATAAGACACTGTTCACTTAATAAATATTTCTTGAATGCAGGCACACTATTCACATAGCCCCTGCCTTGCAGAGCAGTCTAGGGGAGAACATAGACATCAAATAATCACACAAACAAATGTAAAGCAATACAACTGGGAAACACTACAAAGGAGAGGTCCAGTGTGCTAGATGGGAGGTGAAGTCCGAGAAAGCCCCCTGCAAAGGTGACAATTGAGCTAAGATCCACATGCTGAAGAGATAATTGGTGAAGAGGGATCTTGGATTTGGGATTCAGACAGACACATTGACAAAGGGAAGGGAGAAGAGCAAAGGATAGCAAGAGAAGAGCCCAAAGTTCCAGGGGCCTTGGTAGAAAGATTCTGAGAAAAGAGTGGCTACACCTGTAATGCCTTCATTTCTCCTGATCCCTGTTAAATGAAACTCATTGAAATTCATTTCTCCTTCCTTCCTTCCTTCCTTCCTTCCTTCCTTCCTTCCTTCCTTCCTTCCTTCCTTCCTTCCTTCCTTCCTTCCTTCCTTCCTTCCTTCCTTCCTTCCTTCCTTCCTTCCTTCTTTCCTTTTTCCTTCCTTCCCTCGTTCCTTGACCCATTCATTCATCCATTTGTTCATCCATCCAGTCACCCAACAGTGAGCAAGCTACCATGCATGCTAGGAGACACCAAGAGAAAAAGCTGAGGGAGACTCACTGGCCCAAGGAGCTTATAAATGATAGAAATGCTATTCCTGGAATTTTCTTGCTGTTATTTTGACTTACTGCCTACCAGGCAAGGGAAAGAGGACAAAGAAGTGACTGTGCTAATCAAAGAGCAGGACCAATACAACTCTGAAAAGCAGGGCCTGTAGCACATCCGTCTTTCCATCCACCATGGCTGAGAAAATTTGGAAAGGAGGAGAAAGTGTGAGATGTCCAGGTGAGCAGGAGCACCGCTGAGCCTCACTCCTTTCAGAGCGCATTCACTCGCTGCAGGCATCCCTCACTTAAGTCAAAGACTCTGGATTTTATACATATAGAAACCTGTAAGAAGATATGCCATACAGGAATATATTTGCAGTGTTCTATAATTTATGAAATAAAGAATCCATTTCTTTAAAATAAGCGCTGTTCTCACAGAAAGCAGTTGAAGGAGAGTCACTTGGATGAGGATGAGGTTACCAGGCCTGGGACACTCAGGACTCTCAGGATGCAGGGGCCACAGGTGCAGTGGCCACAGCGGTGGGGTGTGTGGTACCCACCCCTTTGGCTCTATCTTCGCACTGGGCATCTGGCTCCCTTGGTTCTGACCTGTCTGACCTTGGCCCTCGGGGGCCTCTTGACTTGGCTGCTGCTGTCATTCCAGATCCATTGTTCACATATAGTCACACATTCCTAGGCAAGGCTAAGAATTCCTCAAACTGGAGGCTTCCAAAGCTCTAAGAAAAAACTGGTTTATGCTTTGAATTCACATGCTAGCAACACAAGTTATTTAGTATCATTCCAAAAGGTTAACATTAATCACCTCTAATGGGTGGGATTATGGATAGCATATATTCATTTTCCATCCATGCATCTTCTAAATTTCCTTCAGACATCATGGATTATGTTACTAATAAGGAAAAAACAAACATTTTTCCCATTTTAAAGAAGATGGGAAGCTAGGGGTGTGGCTTTCTTGCCTTCCCAGAGCAAACAGACAGACAGAGAAGCTAGTGTTGATAAGGAGAAACTCTTTTACTGTATATTAGATAAGGTATATCAAAATAAATAAAAAACATATTCACATTTATCAAACCACTCACAGATGTGGTACCCATGGGATTTCAAAGAACCCTTCACAGACTTGCCTCCCAGACCCGCACAACAGCCCTGTGAGGTAGGTCAGTTTCCAGTCCCTTCTACATGCAGGAAGCCGGAGGAATTTGGCACAGGGAATGTGGGATCCAGTCCAAAGTGAGGTCTCCAGCAAATCCTTCCCTTTAAGATGCTCGTCCACCTGCCATGATAGGCAGCAGAATCACAGGGCGGAACAAACAAGGCCTCAGGACGCAGTCAGACAAGGCACGGAGCTGCCAAGAGCCGGGCTATTTCTGACTTGCCCTACTTAGGGGCTCCCTTCACATGACTGTTCTAAAATCCAAGGCCATTTAACATTTTGCAATAGGACATCCATAGGACACTTCTGGAAAAAACTCTGGCGATTCCATACTTTGTGTGCCTTGAGGAAAAGGTAAGGCAAAGCTTTAAAACAACCTGTCACAGCATTGTTGATGTTGCTGGTGCCCATGTGTCCTGACAACCGTTACATGTGCAATTTTGGGCAAAGAATAGGTTGGAAGACTGTTTCAGTGTTTTCCAATAGTACAAGATCATACCGACACAACTGGGGCCTGTAAAAATAAGACAAAATGTTCTTGTCAATCAAATAATAAAAATACCCTATTGCAATAAAGTAAACTGTATTGTATCCTTAAATTATTAAATAATTATAAAATTATTTAGCAATTATTTATAATGTTATAGGAAAATATTTATGATGAATAAGCAAAGCAACATCAACAACGAGAAAGCAGGATGTAAAATTTATTTGCCACATAACTTCCACTAGGTTTAAAAACAGTAATAGAAAGAAGATTAGAAAGAAGTAACCCCTCCAAAAAAAAGAAATAACCAAAAATATTAACAGTGGTTACCCGTGAATAATGACATTATGGGTAATATTTCTCTTCTTCCTAACACTTTCTTAACTTTTCAGATTTTATAAAATGAACATATTCGTATATTCCTTTGATAATCAAGAAAAAAATTATTAAAAAGTCCTACAGTTTTAAGATGTAATGACTATCCTCTTAGAGAAACTTGTATTATTAAATGTTTTAGGTTACCCTAAGCCTTCATGAAAAAGGAATTCATAAAGTATGAACTGCTCACATAATTTCCTCTCTCTCTCTCTGTCCATAGATTAAATGCTAGGAGTGGCACACATTAAACGTTGGAGTGGCATTAGTAACAAAACGTATATATCATCACAGCCTTTTCTTTCTCCCCCTCTTTGTCTCTGTCTACACACACACACACACACACACACACACACACACACTGTTGGGTTGTTTGTTTGTTTGTTTATTTGTTTTGGAACCAATTGAGAATAGGTCATTTACCCCTTAATACTTTAGTGTGTATTTTCTAGGAACAAGGATATTCTCAATGCAGTTATCAAATTTGACATCGATATAGTACATTCATACTGTATCAATGGAATAAAATATTCCAATTTTTCTGTACCTTTTTTTAAATTCTAGGCTCTGTTCTATCAGTTTGCCAAATTATATGAGGCTTTTTTTTCTATAACAAATTATTAACTTGCAAAGCAGCGTGGGTAGAGTGGTTAGGGAGGAATTGTACAACTCTAAACATATAACAACATTATTTCTTTGGACTATTGGGCCATTTATCTTTAAGTGCACACCAGTAAAATTTTCTTGGATTACTGGGCTACTTGTTTACCAAGTCTATTTTTGGAAAACCCCTCACTTCTTTTATTGTGATAAATGAAGTCCAGTTATAACATTAGACCAAGCAGACGGGACAAGAACCAATAACATCTTTAGAAAACGAGCTTGTCAAACCCTGCCTATGGCTCACCTCTCTGGATGGGCAAGTGACCTTAACTTCATTCGGAGAATCCTGAGCTTGTACTTCGGGCCTACTACAGAGCCTGTAGAGAACACCAAGGAAATGGCTGCTACTTTATCCAGATCTTGATTAAATCTTGCAAGCAGACTCACTTGGTGGTATTTCTGAAATGTTGCAGGTTCACTAAAGGGAAGAAATAATGTTTTTAAATGGATATAGATTGCTAATGAAAGAAAACAGTGTTGAAACCTACACATCACTCATAAGCAGGTAGCACTTGACCCCAAAGCACCGCATATGTGAAGCTGCTAACCCTGGGACCAAAGAAATGCCATGACGTTATAGCGGTATGGGCTACCTGCTATGCCTACTTTATGCCAGGCAGCATCCTCAACTCTTGACATGTGTCTCCAATCCCCTAAAAACTTCTGCAAGGTGAGTATTATTATCTTCATTTCATAGACAAGGAAACAAATGCTCGCAGAGCTTAAGCTCACTCAGGTCACAGGGTTTATCTGTAGTGGTGCAGGGGATCCAACCCCAGTTCTGGATGAGTTCAAAGTTCTGGTCTTTCCATTAAACTGCATGCTTATATTGTTAGCCAAACTAAATACTTATTTAGAAGTTGTGCTTAAGCATGTATGTTTTTCACGCCTGCCTCTTAAAAGAAACCTTAAAATAGCCATATCCCAGGTACCAGTGCTTTTTCCCAGGTGTGTAGAGTTATTTCCTCTAGTTGGAATCTCAAATTGAGCCTAAGATATACCCACTGGGGAGGGTTAGTGTCCCTCTGGGAAGCTGGGACACTAGGCCATGGAGAAATGAGGAGCCCCCTTGGGTTCAGGAACAGGAGGCTCTTTCTAGAAATGAATCCTTAGGTTGGAGGTGGTGGGGATGGGAGTGAGGAGGTGTCTGTTACCCCAGCATCACTGGAATCATGTGTAAGTCCTGTGGAGAATAAAGGTGCCACCAATTCAACTAATTTGAAACGTGCCCAGATTTTGGTTTCTAAATACCATCGCCACTAAAAAGAACCAGGGCTCTACGGAGAAATGGTCGATTCCAGGGCTAAGACAGAGAAAGAGCAAAGTGATCTTGGAACAACTCATGTGCCAAAAAGGAAGGAAGTGCTCAAAGTACGATGGAGATGTTCAAAAGAATATGGAATCACCTCACACCTATTAGGATGGCTACTATAAAAAAGAAAATAATAAATAACAAGTGTTGACAAGGATATGAAAAAAAATGGAGCCCTTGAGCACTGTTGGTGGGAAAATAAAATGGTGCAGCCACTATGGTAACTGTATGGAGGTTCCTCAAAAAGTTAAAAATAACACTACCCTATGATCCAGCAATACGCATACAATTAATATTATTCAAACATAAAAAGGAATGAAGTACTGATACATGCTACAACATAGGTGAATCTTGAAAATTTTACGCTAAACAAAATAAGCCAGACCCCAAAGGCCATATATTGTATGATTCCATTTATATGACATATGCCGAATAGGTGAATCCATAGAGACAGAAAGTAGATTAGTGGTTGCCAGAGCTGGGGAGGAGGGAGGAATAGGGAATTACTACTAATGAGTATGGGGTTTCTTTTTAAGATGATAAAAATGTTCTGGAATTAGTGGCGACGGTTGCACATTTTTTTAATATTCTAAAAACCACTGAATTGTACACTTTTAAAGGATGAATTTTATAGTATGTGAATTATATTTTAATTTTTTAAGTTAAAATAAGAAATACATCTAAAACATGGATACAGGGGGAGTCATCAGGCAGATAGTAACCTTGAATGTAACTCCATTTGTACCCATCATCTGGTAAGACTGGATAAACTCAAGGTCCATACTCTAATGTCATTTTCTTTATTTTAAATTGTAAAAATAATACTAAAATGTTAAAGTTTACCTTGCAAAAAAAAGTAGCCATCACCTCTCAAGTAATGGAACAATTATTTCCTTTTTTCCCCCATATATTCTCTGATTGATGGTGACTTTTTCACAAACATAACTAAAATCAGAATGACTAAACACGACTAAAATAAAGATGTTAATTAAGGTTTCTATCTTAATCAAGATAAAACCCCTCCAAATTTAGGAGTTCTTACTCGAGAGAAATTTACTATGTAAAATTAAAACTTCTAAGACAATGAAAAGCAAATATGTAACCAATGAATACTGGTATTGGCATGAATACTCAAATTTTGCTAGGTGAACACTCTTCGTTATATAACTGCACGGTCTCCGCTGCTATTCGTTACAATCTCCAGATGAGGTCTCTGCCTAGCTTCCTCACTGAGGCCACAGCTCATTAACTACCTGAGGCTGGTTCCTCAAGACGTGTGCTTCCTGGTGGTGCCCTCCCTGAAAATGCTGTCCCACTGTGGGTTTGGGGACATTGACACTGTAGTGAGGTCACTGAAACAGATCAATGAAGAACCTTAAAAAACAAAACAAAAAAACACTACTTGCAAAACCTCAAGTACGGTGGGGTGGAGGGAGCAATACAGCTCAGTGGGAGGAATATAATGTAGTGATTAAACCTATGGACTTTGGAGTTGTACAGACCTGCCTATGATTTCACCTGTTTCGCCCTGATCAGCTGTGTGAGACGGGCCAAGTCACTTGACCTGTCTGAGCCTCAATTTCCTCATTTATAAAATAGAGATGGTAATACTACCTCACAGGGTTTTAGTGAGAATGGCATTAGCTAATGCCTGTAACATGCTTACTTTGATAAAGAAAAGCTATTATTACTATGATCCAAGGATGCATTTAAAAAAGTCACCTCTAAACCACCCACCCACACTATCTCTATTTATCTGTGCAATGAACTCATAAGGAGATTGCCAGTTTCAGATGATATTCTACTTGGTCATCTATGCGTGAGGCCAAAAGACAACCCAAATGTCTAGTATACAATAGGAACCAAGAAACATTTCCTGAGTAAATGAATGAAATGAGCCTCAAATCCCTTTGCTTAAAGAGCTTTTTTTTTTCCCCAGATGTAAAAGTAATAGATGAAAAAATTATTAACTATTTTTAAACAATATATATAAATATACACATGTATATAATACACACAACGTCATAGAAAATTGAAAAGTAAAGACAAGCTGAAAAAAAAGCACTCCTATTTCCACCACCTAAGGGCAATCTAATACTTTGGTGTGTTTCTGTTTCATTCTATTTTTTTTTACATTGTTGAGCTAAAACTTTATATATAGATAATACATTGTTGAGTTTCATATTTTATAGAATTTGTTATCCTGAAGTTTTTCATTTAGCACATAATAAGCATTTCATTTAATGTTTTCATAAATAACCTCAGTGTATAAAGAGTATTCTATTGTATGAGAATACCTAAATTAACCATTTCCTCATTGTCAGACTTTTAGGGTATTCCTAATTTTCAATTACAAATTACATCTTCTGAGTTATAATGAGCTCATAACAGACTAGAACCATGTATATGGGGTGGGTGCATATGGGAGTGGGTTTGTTGGGATGGGCCAAGGATTTGCATTTTTATTGTACATACTCCTTCACTGTTTAAATCTTTTATAGCAAACAAGGATGACTTTTGTAAATGAATCCTTAAGCAAAGAAAGGAGAAGAAGAAAAGGAAGGGAGGGAGAGTGAAAAGAGGAAGGGAGAAAAAACGGAGGGAGGCAGGGAGGGAGGGAGGGGAATTCCTTGCACCAATTCCATTTGTAAAGAATATGGGAAATCAGGAGCCACAGGAAGCAATTAAACAAAATGTCCCCTCATATCTTCTGTATAACAAAGAAAAGTACCTAAATAAGAAAATAGGTTTATTTGGAATTTAATTTCTCTGAGCAAAAAGGGAAATAGAAAATTGCAAACTATCCCAATCCAACTTACTGATCGATTTTGGATTCTGTGGTGTTTCCAGCTTTGTCTGTCAATTTGATTGTAATGAACCCTCTTCTTACGTTCTTGTTCCAAGTTATAATATCCACAAAGTAATGATATACTGCAAAAGCAGGAGAAAACATGGTAAGAGAGAGGTACTCCCAACTGCTCCCTTAAAAGGTCAGTTCCTAAAATCCCAACCTCCTTAATAATTGAGTCTCTTTTTCCCTTCCTCTCTAGTTTCTCTGCAAAGATCCAGGGCAGAATTTTCTAACATTCCTTTCTATTCTCTTTGTTAAAAATGGCTTGAGTGACAGCAGAGTTCAGTGGTATCCTGTGGCCATGTTTAGGCATCATGGTTGAATCAGTGTTCCCACCTCAGTGCCTGAGGTTTCATAGCTTACAGCTGAGTGTGATTGGTTCACTTCAAATCCTGTCCATTTAAAAATAAGCCAACTAGGGCCGGCCGAGTGGCACGATGGTTAAGAGCTGTCTTGGGACGCCAGAGGGCCCCGGTTCGGATCCCACATATAAGGGCCAGTGACACTGCCCTACACAGCTAAGATGCTGAACAACAGCTCAATCTGGAGCTGGGCTGCCGTGAGTCGCCAGCGACAGCGTAGGGGGCAGCCTCTGTGGCAGTGGGTTGCCATGGGCTACCATGTGTAGCCGGCAGCCAGCGTAAGCGTCCAGCAGCCGCCGTGAGCGGCCGTCCAGAAGCCGGCGACTGATCTGCCTCGCCTGGGAAGAGTGCAATGATGGTGCCAACTTGGGCCAGTGAAGCAACGTCCTCCACAACTAGACTGAAGAACAAAAGGACAGCAACTTGTCTGTTTCCCTTCCCCCAATTCTCCAGCGCTGTTCCCATCCCCCAATTCCCCAATAAAAATCTTTTTTAAAAATTTTGTTTTAATTTAATAAATAAATAAATAAATAAAAATAAGCCAACCAGGGAGCCATGTAGAAACCCTCCACAACTGACAAGGTCTTCCATAACCTAGGCCTGTCCACCAGCCTATCCAGCCTCCCTCATCTCTTCTCCAGTCATGCCACACCACTGGCACTGCCTACATTGCCAATTTTCCTCTTGCTCATGAGCCTTCCCCTCACTTGGACAGTCTTACTTTGCCCCTTTTGCCAACTCATCCACCAGGTTTCAGCTTAATGACACTCCCTCCAGGAGCCTTCATTGACCCTCAGACTAAGTCAGGTCTACCTCTTGGAGTTCCCATCATGCTCTAGGATTCCCCAATCATTACTCAGCACACTACTGTATTTACAAAATGAAAGAAAAAAAAGATAACCAAAAAAGTGGTAAATGCATGGATACATCTGAGCAAATATTGCCTGAATAATGTCCTTATGGAGTTACAGAAAAAAGATAAAGTAAATATACTGCAATAATAACTGGGAATTGATGATTATTCTTCTCTGTAATCTCAGCAGTAACACCTTACAGGCACCCAATAAATTCCTATTGAATAAATGAGAGTGCATGGATGCGTTCAAGGAACTCTTCTTCCTCTCCAGTCTTTGCTCCCCAAGGTAGAGGGTGCTTTGGGAAGATGGGAATTCCACCATGACATTCAGATTTGTTATCTCTTGGTCATACTTGCAAAGAAGGGAGGAGAGGCTCAGGGAGAAAGTGGCCATCTCACAAAGAAGGTAAGCCCTGGAGTTGCCATGTCATGGCCCATCATTGCTCAGGAGCTTGCCCCATTTGGACCTGACAGACACCAAGCCCGGGGCTGCCACACATGGCTCCAAAGGAGGGAAACCCAGTGATTTGCAACCTCTTTTATAAGAGTTGCTCCCAGGAAAGGCGAAAAAGGAGACAAGACTGCAAGACATACATCTGCCCAGGAAATAAATACCCTACTTGCTTCCCAGGGCATTTTATCATCTGTTGCCCCATTTTACTCTCATCTGGAATAGCCAGTTTCTCAATGTCTTTAAAAAGTCATCAGGGTGGCTTTGGAGCTGAAACTGAACCACAGATGTGGCCTGATTTTTTCTAGCCCCAATCTGATGTCTCTTGGTGAATTAAGCAGTTTCCTAGAAGATCTTAGTGACTAACAAGGCCATTCTGTGAAATTAACAGGTATGATTTGTTGAGATTTTAATCCTTATAGCCGAGGAGATAGGTATTATTATCCCCATTTCATCTAGCAGGACATTGAGACTCAGAGAGGTTAATGCCTTGACCAAGGTCACACAGCTATTATGTAGTAGAGTCAGGATTCCACCTAGGTCCTTCCAGCTCCAAAGTCAATGCTTCACCATGGCCTTCGTTTGCCAAGGAGTAGTCAGGAAGCTGAGATTTAGCCATTCAAAAAGTAAAAAGCAAACAACCACATTCACCACTCACTGCAGAACGGTTTCTCTTCAGCTGTGTCAAAGAATGCTTTAGTCATAGGAGGATCTTTTTCCGTTAAATAGTCTTTCCAATAATCAGCATAATAGCCTATAAAACAGATTGGAAAAGTGTAATATTAACAAGTATTACATAAACATAAGAGCAGCTGGGGAGGTAGTAAGAACAGCAAGTTTGACTGCCATCACCGCTGAGATAATCTCCTTATCACCCACCCCCATGGTGAGGACCCACAGGGCCACCAGGGCAGTGCCTCCCCAGCACCCACACACCCTGCTTACTACCCTATTAAAAGCTAGGGCATGCAAAAGGACCCTACAGTGGCTTTTCCCCCTTTCTATTAACATTACAGCACCCAGCCCTGGTTGTCAGTAGCAGGAGAGGGGAGTGGGGAGGACTAAAAATAGTGCTGATATTTTTCAGTAACACATTCATTTTATAGGTTAAAACAGATTCAGATTTTACCTAGAATAGCATCACTCTTGCAAAGCAATGTGCTTTCTTGAACTACCATCAGGCCCCTAAATTGCACATAACCTGGGTTTGCCATGTGACTATGTCACCAAGCAGGTGAATGTCCTCCTTCACATGTGCCTGCAGCAATGAGGCTGAGTACCACCAGTGGGACCGCTCTCTCTCCTGTCCCCATTCCAAGAGAATGGCCTCTGCCTTCTGACTTAATTGATATGGGGTGGGACCCAAGCATCAGTAATTTTTTTAAAGTTCCTTAGGTGGGCTGGCTGAGTGGCTCAGTTGGTTAAGAGCTCGCTCAAGAGTTTGAGCTCTGAGCAATAGCAGTTCGATTCCTGGCCCGAGCTGAGCAGCCAACAAGTGGCAGGATGGCTCAGCTTAAAAAAAAAAAAAAGTTCTTTAGGTATTTCTAATGCGTAATCAAGGTTGAGAAGCCCTTGTCTATAGCATGCCCTGATGTTAACTTGGGTTTTTCCTTTGAGAACAATTAGAAAATTCTCATGACCATCCAGTTTCAAAGTCCTTAACACCTGGAATACTTCTATCAACCCTTAGCATATATCCAAGCAGCCTCCACAGTATCCATCACCCACCCCCAACCTCTGACATACACACAAGAGCCAGAGCGTGGCTTGAGGGCATTAGACACACAGCTTGTTGGAAGGGATCACTCTGCAAGGCTCATCTGATAGGATGAGCCACCCCCTGCAGAAAGGTTGTGTGTAAGGTATTCCTGTCCCCATAGGAACAGGCTACATAAGGCAACAGTGTCTTTGGTGGGCTTGGCAACTATTCTGGAACCTTCTTTTCCATGCTAGAATAGAGTGTCCGGGGAGGATGCTCTACCTTCTGGATGAAATACTATACAGATTGCTTTTCTAACACTGTTTATTATTAGGAGATCCCAGAGTACTTCACAGAACAAGTTGGCTAGCAAAAGCTGACTAAATATATTTGTTAAAAACACACAATGTTCAGGCTCATTTTTAGATAGTAAATCGGTGCTGGTATACCTACCAAACATGAGCACTTTGTTCACCAGAGGCGAAACTACTTGTTGGACTTACCCAGAAGTGGACAGGACGTCTTTTGTGATGTCTCGCAGTTGACACACTTGCCATTCCTGTAATCCCGGTAGGAGTCACAGGGATATGCAGTGATAGAACAGTTCTCTCTCAGGGAAGAGAGGTACAGGTACATAGACCTCTGGTGGTCGCACTTAAAATACTGCAATCCTGGGTTATAAAAGGAATGATTAAAGAATAGACCTATTATAGCATTTAATAATAGTATGCCCGTCACATATTGTACACACACAGACACATACAAACACAATTTATCATGTCTCCTATATGCCAAGCACTGTATTAACAGCTTCGGTGTATTTGATTCCATTTAATCCTGATAACAACCCATAGATCAGGATTCATGCCGGCAAGTGGCAGGAGAAAAGAAGAAGATAGGCATAATAATCTCCATTTTACCTAGCAGGACACTGAGACTCAGAGAGGTTAAATGACTTGACCAAGGTCACACAGTTATTATGTGGTAGAATCAGGATTTGACCTATGTCCTCCCTTTATCAGTGAAAAGGAGAAGAAAAATTCAATGGTAATCAACGATTCCCCTGAGGTTTTCAGCAAAAGACAAGCACGATTAAACAAAAAACATCAGAGAAAGGAGATATCAGGGAGCGACTGGTAGAGGAAACTCCCCAAAAAGGGCAAACGGAGGAGATAGCTTTTAAAAAAGATGGTGGATGCCTCCACCCTATGTCAGGAGGGAACATGAATGTAAAGGTCAGCCTTGTGAACTAAGATGAGAATAGATAAGATAGCTTTCTCAGGTAGGACCTTGAACTAGGTACAAAAGTCCAATCTAGCTCACCTCTAAGAGATGAGGGGTTCTAGGTAGAGATATATTTGAAATAGAAGCATGAGGAGTGATCGTAGGGCGTCAGCGAGAGATAAACAAGAGGATTCTCTGGCATTATTGAGGACTATGGAGAAGTTAGTAAGTTTGCCTGACTTTGTACTCAATTGAGGAGGCTCCATGACTTCCCCAGAATATTCCCAAGCAAAGGTGGGGGCTGACGTGGCAGAGACCTAAGAACCTGGAGGTGCACAGGGCATTTGTGAGAGCAGCCAAGCGGCAGAGTGAACTGAGAGGGGCTGAACAATAGGAGGCAGCACTGGAAGCCATGAATGGGCAAGAAGAGGTGAGAGACAGGTCTCGAGTTCATTCTTAGTGGGTGCCACACGGTGTGATGGTGGGAGAGGAGGCTAATGGGGCACAGAGATGGGCATCAGAAAAGTTGGAGGTAATGGAGCACGGCAGCACAGAACATCAGAGAGCTTGTCAGAAGGTTGATGAGTCAGATGATGAAGTCACTCAGAAAAGGGGACTGGGTCCCAAAGATGGTAGTCAACGGAGGTAAGGATCTGAATAGAAAACAATGAATGAACCTTATGAAGAGGAGCTGTGATTGTGAGCTAGTGGTTTGGAGAGGCAGCAGGTGCTGGAGTCAGATCAACGTTTCCTGTTTCTCCAGGGTCCACTTATACTCATAGAAATGATCAGTGAAGAACAAAAAGAAATAAACTGGGGGAATAAAGGAGAAGGATGGTGCTGACATGGGGTCAGGCTGGACTGGAGTGAAATCTAACAAGCCAATATTTACTTATTATTCCTGATCTTCCACTTGCAAACACAGTGACGTTAATGATGATACAGAGGATGTCCTTTATAAGCAGAGCATGCTATCTATCTCTGACTGCTCATGGCTGTAGTTACACTATATCACACAGGACAGGATTGAACACTCACCATTTGTGGTACAATATGGTCGACCCTACTTATGCCATTTCATTGGGATCATTTTCAACTACTACGTCATTCCCATGGGGCCATTATAGCTATCACTTTGTAACAAGATCACCTTTTTCTAGAATTATTTCTGTAATTGTTTAACTTTCTCTGGCAATAGTGAAAAACAGATTTAGAGCACTCAGGGATGGGTTTTTTTATTCTATCCCTCACCCCACTTTTATCTTGTCCTCCAACTACCCTTTTTTGTTTTCGTGAGTTTTTTCTCATTATAAAAGTAATATGTGCTCATTTAGAAAATACAAAATAATAGGAAATAATGATGAAAAGTCACCTAGAAGTCCAATATCCAGAGATCACCATTAATAATTGTTTGGAGCATTCACAGTCTTTTTTTTTTTTTAATACTCACACATGTGACTTTTTCACTTAACAGCATATTATAAGCATTTTCATTAATCTCTGAAAATTATTTTTAACAATTATACACCATATTTATTTAGGAATTTTCCTATGCTGGATATTTAGATTATTTCTAAAAAGTTAGCTATTATAAATAACACTGTGTTGAATATCTTTGCACTCTGATTTTTGTCTACATTTTCCATTATTTCTCTGGGAGAGATTTCCAGATGTGGAATTTCTAGGTCAAAGGCACACTTTTTCAAGAGAGAAATAATTCATAATAGCTTTTAATCATATGTTTATGGTTTTTAAAAGTAGTATACTTATGTAATAATTTACAATTTGTATTTATACCACCTCTATCATCTCAGGAAGTTTGTTTCCTATTAAAAACTACCCCACATAGAATAATATTTTTAAAATATGCTTTTTTTAAACCATTATTTTACAACATAGAAAGTATCTGCACTTACCTCCAAGTATTGTTTTGGGACAACCAGGTTGATCCAATCCTCCATTTGGGTAGAAGTCTATGTTTCCTAATGGTTCCTTGTACCCCATTGCTAAAAGAGAATACACTATGCTTTATACTGCTTTGAACTTTTCACATCTCATAGCTCATTTGCCTGCAAACTATGGACAGGGGTTGTATTATTATTATTATTATTACTATTATTATTCCTATTTAAATATTTTGCCCAAAGTTACCCAGCTAGTTAGTTAGAAAGCAATAATTTCCAACTAGGAGACTATGAAGATGGTAATGGAATTTATTTCCAATATTTCTAAAGACAAGAGAGTTTGGTCACTCATTCACTGCAAGGGTGATAAAACAATATGTTTCTTCTTTACATTTGGCTGGAACCCTCTAATTTCCAGGCACTTCCTGAGCTTCTATTTGCATTTGTGTAAGTCTTTCATGAGTAAGAAACAGGGGAAAATGAACTTTTACTGAATAGAAAACAATCTTTAAAAACTGGGGATCTATTGGGTTGTTGGAAGTCATGACACATTTTTACAACAAAAAAAACATAGAAAAAATACGTAATGACTTTTCTGACAACCTAATAGGATGGTAAAAACATTGGAAACTCTTCTAGAAAATGGGGGCCTAAAGAATTATAGGTAGATTAGTAATTGCTTATTCTCTTTAACCTTGTAACCTCAAATAATCAGTAAATGCTTGATTAAAAAGATTATATGTGCATACATATATAGTGCATCATTATATCTCAATAGCTATTACATATCAAGAACCTACATGTGTCCATGGGCGTGATACTAGGTGTTTTACAGAACTTTTAATTTTACAATGTCTACATAGTAGCCATTCGTAAATTCAGATGAAGTAATTCACAGAGGAAGATACTGTCTGAGACTCGGGATTTAAGGACTAAACAAGACACCACTAGAAAAAACAATCTGGATTTTAAATCCACCTCTCCCTGACTACAAAGCTCATACTCTTTCCTTCAAAATTCACTTACTCTCCAAGAATAAAATATAAATTGCTCTATTCCATCAAGCAATAAAGCAGCAGTGAGGTACTGCACTTAAGTAAGGTAATACTTTGCAAACTACACAGTAAGAATATAGCTGTTTCATGAACACATTTGTCCTAAGGCAAAGAATTGCTGACACTACTCTAGAGTGCCCAAGAAAGGTGATCAAGGGTTTTCTTAGGTAGTTGTATCACAAAAAGCGTGTGCAGATCACTCTGCTCTGTCCCCTTGGCCCTCCCCAAGTTTCTGTCTATTCCAGCTCTTCTCCCAGATATCTGGATGTGAAGACTGACCCTTCACATCACCCCAAACCCCATGACATGTATCCAATCCCTGATATGAAATCGGCACCCTGGAAGACACAAATGGTCAAGAAGATCCACAGAGAGCTGGAGAGCTATAGGCAGTTCAGAATCTCTCTGTGTTGAGAGATGCAATACTTGAACGTATCTTTCAGCTTAGGGAAATAATGAGAAAGAACCAATAAAAACAGGAAACCATGCATCCAGAGCCAGTTGTATGTATGGAAACATTTGTCCACATGGTGTGAAAATCAGCGTGTCCTTGACTGGTCAAGATGATCACTTTAGAAGTAAAAAGAGATGGGCCGGCCGAGTGGCGCGATGGTTGGAAACTGGCTTGGGACGCCAGAGGGCCCCGGTTCGGATCCCACATATGAGGGCCAGTGACACTGCCCTCTAAGCTAAGATGCTGAATAACAGCTCAACCTGGAGCTGGGCTGCTGTGAGTCGCCGTTGACGGCGTAGGCTGCAGCCCCTGTGGCAGTGGGTTGCCATGGGCTACCATATGTAGCCAGCAGCCAGCGTGAGCGACCAGCAGCCGCCGTGAGCGGCCGTCCAGAAGCCGGCGACTGATCTGCCTCTCCCGGGAAGAGCGCGGTGATGGTGCCAACTTGGGCTGGTGAGGCAACGTCCTCCACGGCTGGACTGAGGAGCAAAACGACAGCGGCTTGTCTGTTCCCCTTCCCCAATTCCCCAGCACTGTTCCCAATTCCCCAATAAAAATATCTTAAAAAAAAAAAAAAAAGTAAAAAGAGACGATGGGAAAAGCATCTTCGCTCCAGCAAGAGATCCTGGGTGCCTGCCTTAAACCAGCTTCCCTTAAAGCTTTCTGTGAATCTGGAACCCTGCCCCGTAGGAAGAGAGGGAGTCTGGAGGAATTGGACCTGCCCCTGCATGACAGTACCCCCCGGGGAAGACTCCGTGGGAGTCTGGAGCAGTAGGTCACTGGCCCACAAGGACGGGAATGTTACCGTCAATGTCAGAATGGATGACGTCAACGAACTGTGCATCGCTGGGATGTAATCTGTCCTCTGGAGGTTTCCCATTGAATAAAGGGCCCGCAGGGTCGAGACCTGGAAGGAAAACAGAGTCAGCTTGGCAACCCCACGCCATGAGTCACCTGCAGCCGGGCTTTTGATCTCTCTCTCCTTTAAGGGTGGCTCACAGGCTGCAGGGCACCCTCGGGTGGGCGAGCATTCCCACTCCCATCCTGCCTCGTCAGGCTGCTTTCACAGCCCTGTAGCTTTTTCCCACAGTAGACATGGTTACCCTGGCAGTGCCCCCTGAGAATGGCATCCAGACTCCACCAGGATGTTATATCTTATGCAGAGCTCAACGGCAGAGAGTGCACAGATATATGGGGACCAGAGGCATGGGGATAAACTGGTTCCTCAAGAAAAATCAACTGAGGGTGCATATAAAAAGCGGACACTATACTTATCCCTTTTTAAATGATCCAGAAACCTCCCTCAGCCTTTCCTTCTTGTTATTAATAAAGTCCTTTACAGTTTCCATTTTTATTCATTTATGTTCATTCATAAGCTCCAGATCACATGCCTGTGAGGGAGGCAGGATAGCTATCATCATTCCCAATTTACAGAAGAATGAACTGAAGTTCAGGGAGATCAAATGTCATAACCGGAGCTACAGCCTCACAATGCAATCACCTCCCTCTGCTGAGCTCTTGGTTTCACCACACTGAGTTTGGCAAGCTTGGTAGGAAAGAGTGAAACTCACAGGTTGGGTCAAGTATCAGGCCAGGTATTGAAGTGGGAAATAAAGTGGGTGTCAATTCCTACAAAACTGACCCACCCCATAAATGCCTGAACTGATTTTTTTGCCCTTGGTCAATGCTAGCTGGGCGTTCCTCACCATCATTATGAAACAGCTGTAAAAACAAGACAGCAGATTCCATGGTGCTGTAACCACAAAATAAAAACTTTAAACTAATAACAAAAACAAAGCACCAGAGGTTCAAATATGCCTTGCTTACTAGAAACCTACCTGGAGTGAAGAAGGTTTCAAGGGATGCATTGAAGATAGTATCTATGGATGTCATTTTAAATGACCCATCTCCTGGTGTTATAGATAAAATCCAAGAGATAGCATCTTTGCCTCAATTTTCCTGGTTCTAGCCCCAATCTCTCCATTTCTCCTCTCCAAACACTCTTGCTTCCTTGAGACATGTCTTTATCTGTCCCCTTTCCTTAGCTCCTTCTCTTTCCCCCACCCACCAGCTTTTCTTCTTCTCTCTGCTCCCAACTAAAACTGATGTGGAAGGAGACGGAGCAACACACAGGCACCCAAGTCCACAGGATATTCTCAACAGAGCAAGAGAAGCTCCTAACGTTGGAAAGAGTTTGCTGGGAGCGCCTCCTTCTCCTCCTAGAAGGCAGCACCACTTCCTGTGTAATAAAATGAACGGTGAGAGAGCGAGAGCCCCAGTTTATAGCAGACTCCAGATCCGTGGCAGATAAATCAGCTTCCTATATAAAGTCCAAACCTGGGCAATTTTGAGAATGATGAGGGTACCATTCATAATTACACCAGCACTCAAGGCACAAATGGGGACTGTCACAGTAAACTTGGACATATGGTCTCCTTAGTGATAAGCTATAGCAAATAACCAGTTTATAATGTGAGCCGATAATGGCTGGGTGGGAGAATATCCACAGTTAAGCTGCCCTAAAATGATGTGTATTTTGTGTGGGCAGAGACCACTGGAGTCAGATTGATGTGACATAGAGCCCTAAACCTAACACCAACTAACTCTGTGACCGCAGGCATGTTACATTACTTCTTTGAACCTCAGTTTCCTTATCTGCAAAATGGAGAATTAATAGCTACTTCTGAAGATGTATAAAAGGACTCCTGGATCTGAATCCAGAATATTTGGGGATTATTATAGAATAAAAACAAAATGAGAAAACAGAGCTCTTTCCTGTTGTTCGCATGTCACCAGGAAAGTGTCTAGGTAGTGACCCTGTCTTTTCCTACAGCATTAACTAGTTTGAGAATTTGATGAAAGCTCTGCACCTCTCCCCTAGTCATACATCATTTGCATGCAGTTTCAGGGTCCTCTTATTCTCAGCCCCAAGGTCACCAAGAACTCTCTGAGGCAGTGCTATCTAATATAATGTGAGCCACGTGTATAATTTAAAATTTTCTAGCAGCCACTTAAAAAAAAGCAAGGGGCAGCTGGGTGGTTCAGTTGGTTAGAGTGTGAGCTCTGAGCAACAGTGTTGCCAGTTCGGCTCCAGCATGGGCCAGTGAGCTGAACCCCCACCCCCCGCAACTAAATTGATGACAATGACTGGACTTGGAGCTGAGCTGCGCTCTTCACAACTAAGATTGAAGGACAACAACTTGACTTGGAGCTGATGGGTCCTGGAAAAAACACATTGTTCCCTGAAAAAACACATAGTTCCCCAATAAAGTTAAAAAAAAAAAAGGAAAATTAATTCTAATAATGCACTTTATTTAACATAGTTTATTTAACCCAATATATCCAATATATTATCATTTCAACGTGTCATCAATGTAAAAAATCTGAGATTTTTTTATATTCTCTTTTTGTACTTAGTCTTTGAAATCCAGTGTGTATTCTGCAGTGACAATACATCTAAATCTGCATTAGCCGCATCCCAAGTGCCCAATAGCCTCATGCACTTAGTGCAGCGGTTCTCAACCTGTGGGTCGCGACCCTTTTGGGGGTCGAACGACCCTTTCACAGGGATCGCCGGGTACTTGTATGTGGGCGTATCTGCATGTGGGCCTGGAGACGGATAGAGGAGCGGTATCTTGGTTCCTAAGACCATCGAAAAAATGTGTTTTCCGATGGTATTAGGCAACCCCTGTGAAAGGTTGAGAACCGCTGACTTAGTGGCTAGCGTATTGGACATGGTTGATTCTCAGTGTGCAGTGTTCAGATCGCCTGCATCTTTTGGTTAAAAGTACAGACTCCTGTACCCCAACCCCAGAGCTTCTGACTTAGCAAGCTGGCATTGTAACGAGCACGCCAAGGCGATTTTTACACACACTTGAGAATCAACTTTAATGTATTATCAAGTGATGTAGGTACTTGAGATATTTTAAAATCCATTCATCCTCTGCACCTTCTACTGAAGAAAGTAATGAAAAATAGAACCAGGAGATGTGCCGGGAGAGGAAAAGCAAAAGGAAGGGCAGGAGAAGGAAAGGGACATGGAGGAGATGAAGCAGCCACCCCGGCCTTGATTATTAACAAGCAGAGCCATCCAGTACTTGGGAGGTGGGAGTGAATTGCGTCCTTGGGTAACAGGCCACATTCTCACCCCCCAATTCAGGCAAGGTGAGTGGGTAAGGGAAACGCTTTACCCGTGAAACTGCTCTCGGGGACAGCTGAGATTGGCCTAGGAACTCAGAGAGGAGGAGGAATCAGGAGAACTTGGGGGAGTCAGGAAATTGAGCTGTGGACCTACCACTGGCTGAGTCCAGGCCACAGAGCAAGGTTCACATGGGGAGAGTGGAAGGAAGGCTGGGTGGGGGGATTTCCATAGGCAGAGAGCAGGGTACATTGCATTGACATTCAAACTAGTCGAGGAACAGGTTTGCTGGGAGGCTGAGGAGTAAAACTGGGAGGTAAGTAGAATCAGGCAGCAGCAGTAGGCTGGAGCCCAGCAGGACTACCACTGGAGAGCATATTTTGCTCTCCTCTCCCCAAACTTTGTAGTCAGTGGTATCAGGTTGGTAGCTTGAAATTAGCCATGGTGGGAGTATTTATACCATGGAAATCAGCAAACGCTGCAAATCAGGGCTCTTGCATTTTCTTTTCTTTCTTTCTTTCTTTCTTTCTTTCTTTCTTTCTTTCTTTCTTTCTTTCTTTCTTTCTTTCATTCTTTCTTTCCTTTTCTTTCATTTTTTGCACAACTGATCAGCTTCTAAACACACCACTGGAAAAAGTCCCACCTGGCAGAAGAAGAGTTCCTAACAGTTAAGGGACACAAGAAAATTCAAGCTACCAGTTGTTTGTACCCATAAGGAAATTTTTTTTAAAGTAAGGACACATTGTTTTCTAAAACATAGTAGTAGTAGAAATAAATAATAAATAAATGAATAAATGAATAAATAAATAAATAAATAAATAAATAAATAGGGCTTTGCTTTCCTAGGAAAGCAGGTAAATAATAAGATGAGGGCAGACTTGGCCTTTGGGGTGAAAGTAAGAAAAAAACAGCCAGGAAAAAGAATATGACCTCGGGCAGGCCGAGTGGTGCGTTGGTTAAGAGTTGGCTTGGGATGCCAACTCTGAGCATCAGGGCCCCGGTTCGGATCCCACATGAGGGCCAGTGATGCTGTGCCCTCTACAGATAAGATGGTGAATAACAGCTCAACCTGGAGCTAGGCCCCTGTGAGTCGCTGGCGATGGCGTAGGCTGCAGCCCCTGCTGCAGTGGGCTGTCATAAGCTACCGTGAACTACCGTGAGTAGCTGGCAGCCAGCGTGAGCCGCCATCTAATGGCCAGCAAGTGACTGCCTCACCCGGGAAGAGCACAATGATAATACCAACATGGGCCAGTGAAGCAATGTCTTTCACAACTAGACTGAAGTACAAAAGGACAGCAACTTGTCTGTTCCCCTTCCCTGATTCCCCAATGTTGTTCCCCTCCCTCAATTCCCCAATAAAAATCTTTAAAAAAAGAATGTGACCTCAAGGATCAGCCAGTGTGTGTGTGTGTGTGTGTGTGTGTGTGTGTGAAAGAGAGAGAGAGAGAGAGAATGACTTGCCCAGGGCGACCGGTCAAATATAATTGCACATTCAGACTTGTAACCCTAAAAGCTCACCTACCAAATTGTAGTTGGTTTGAATCATTTACCTCTCCCCGCCCTTCTTCTACCTTCCAGATTCCCTAGAATTAAAATATCTTTTTCCATGTGAGGATGGATTCTAGGAAACGTATAAATGGTAGAAGTCTTAAGTCTGAAAGAGAAAGCCTCCCTCAGCCCTTCATTTGTAGCTGTGGAAAGTTACTAGAGCACTAGGCAAGAGAACTCAGCATGGGTTTGTTTGCGATTTGACCTGCTGTGTGGCTGAATGTTTTCATTCAGTCTGGCCTGAAAGCTGATATTCAGAGAGTAAGCCCCAGCCATCGAAATTCCCATCTCATTTTCCTATCATGAGACTCCAGCTATGCTTGGGGACAAAAACATATTAGGTATGTAGTTCAAGCTACTCTTGATTAAATGAAAGGAAGAAGGCTATCTTCTTGGGACACACAGATCAAATCCCCGTGGGACATAGCAGTTTTCCTAGCCCTAAGAGAAATAAAGTCACCACCATCTTTTTCTATGGTACATAAAATTTACAAAGTGCTTTGCACATATTATTTTAAATAATAACTTGAGGTCAACATTAGTATGATCTTCCTTTTGCAAAAGAGGACACATGCTCATACATGTTAAATAATTGGAAGAGCTGGCTTCGAACCCAAGGACTTGAATTGCTTGTATCACTCTCCCCCAATGAACACCCTGCCCAGGCTGATGACCCCCTGCCCATTCACAGGAAGCCTTACCTGTAATTCTCCCCAGCTGCCCATTGCACATCTTTCCAACAAACCCGGATATGTGGGCTCCTAGACTTACTCCAATCATGTAAATGTCCTCATAAGAAGCTCCTTTGGCCTGGAATTTCAAGAGGTCCATCATTATAAATTGATAAGGCTAAAGGAATTGACAACATTTGGAGAAATTTCCTATGTGTTGACTTTGGAGAAACATATCTAAGTACCTTATATCCATTATCTCAGGTAACTATCACAACACCGCTGCAAAAATATATATACTATTCTTTTGACCATACAGATAAGGAAACTGAGGTCCAGAATTCAATTAATCTGCCCAAGGTGAGGCAGTGGGAAAGGGGCAGAGCAGGATACAAACCAGTCCATCCAACTCCAAATTTGTGCCTTCAACTTTATGCCATGGTGTCTCCATTTATACTTCTGCTAGAAACCAAGCTGAGACACCTTTAAAACCTTGCTAGTTGGGGAGCAGGAGAACAATATGTTTATCTTCATGTTGATGCAGTTAAATGAATTCACTGTGGAGAGGGAAGGAAAGAAGGAAAGAAAGTAGGGTGGGGATGAGCCACACTGGCCATAGCCTCCTGGGACAGCCAGTATGAGTCATTTTAATATTTACTTTTCCAGGGCTGTGGCTTAGGTGGGGAGCACATGTAAAACTTAGGCCACTTTTGGCCACAGTGGCTCTCTCTGATAAAAAATAGCCAATTTTTTTTTTTCATAAAAGGGGCAATTCATAAAATTGATCACTAAATAAAATTTGAGATTTATTTAATCTTTGGTAAGTCTACTAAAAATATAAATCAAACATACACAAAAATCTCTCATCAGACCATGGATATCAGTTTTGGTTTTGAATAATCCTGTCACTAAACTTTTGGCATTGCTAGGAAAAGGAACAGCTATAAAGTTGAGGAAGCCCTAGGCATTGAAGCCAGGAAACCCCTAGACAGAATCTCTCCTATCCAGAGGACAACTTTACGTGAGTTAGAAAAAGATGTCCCTTTCTCAGGATACATGTTGTCATTCGCTGGAAAATTATCATAATAAACATATAATTCTACAATGTCTATAACGACAGTGATGCTCCCTTAGATGGGTGACTTGCACAGTGAACAACCTGCACAACCATACCCATGGGCCTTCCCTCCACCTTCCCTGGGGCTTATTTGGATTTACAAAATAACACCCCATGTTCACTGCAGATATCTCTTGGCTTTAACTCAACAGATAATGGGCCAGTTTCAATTTTGCCCTGAATCATCAAAGAGAATTTTCTCTTACCAACATTTGGTCGATAAATTCCTTTAAGAATATTGCTACTTCTCTGGTCTTACTGGAGGCATGGTTGTACAATACAGTTGTAGCTCCTCGATTCCAATCAACAACAACCACGTTCATGTCCTCTACAAAGAGCAAGCCCTCTACTAGGTCTCCAATCCAAACTGGAGGGGAGCCTGTTGGCCTGAATCCATGGACAATGAAGGTGGTTTTCTTGGTCACATTCAAGTTCCCCAAAGCTGTGGAGTTGACGGCCTGTGCGCAGGTCAGATTTCTCCTTGTGAAGAGCATCAACTTCACATCTAGTTTCGTACCAACCACTGCACTGTGAAAACTCAGTCTCGTGAATGAAAGACATGCTTCATCTGTGTCTGAAAATAAAAAAATAAATGGCATCATGACAGTTCTTTCCTTAGGTGGGCATCAAGTAAGAGTGCTGCCCTACACTTGATGGAGTTCTTTCCATGTGCCTTATAGCACCTAGCAGGAGGCTAGATCTAGTTGAATGAAGTTGCAAAGTCATACTGATAAGGAGTTCATAAGCAGTGACTTATTTTTCACCAGGACAGCCATCTTTCCAAATTCTACCCTCCTTCAAGGTCTAACCCCAAAAGTCACCTCGGTGAAGGTTTCTCCAACTCTCCCAAGACATAAATATTGTCCTTCATCCCAGAACTCCTCAGGCCCCTTTATGGACCTCAGTGACAGCACAATGAAAACACTTTCAGGGGTGTATTATGGGTATTTATATACATGCCCATCTATCCTGCTAGACCACAATCTCCTTGAAATGGTGTCTTATAATCTTGTGTATCCCTCAGTGTTCCCAGTACACAGTAGATGACTCAATAACTGAAAGTTTATGGTCCAAGCCCCTCTTGCCTAGAGCACAGGCCCGAGACAGTGGTGGGGAACAGGGTGTGCCTTGCCCTGAGCCTTTCAATAGCATCTGAAATCGTTGTCCATGGTGGCATTTTTGGACCCCCTTCTTTGCTCTTTAAGCACCACCTTCGAGCACATCCTGCTGAGTAGGTTCTAAGGATGGCTTAGAAGAAAAGTTAGGGATGGGCAGGGGAGCAGCATAGATCATCCTGGAGCATCTTGTTATGGCAGAAAGTAAGGGAGTGTTTAAAAACTTGTCACAAGGACACAGGAGACAGGTGAAGGGGCTTCCACCTGCCAGATGTGGGATAATTTGAGCCCAAAATAATTAAGGACACTAACAAATTATAGGCCTTGGGAAAAAATTAGGAATCCATGATTCCATAACAAATAAATAGATAAACAAACAAATAAATAAGTGGAGGACTCTTAGAGTATAATGCTGAATGCCAACTGGTAAATGTGGGATGAATGCTAGAGTTGAGACTCACAATTTTACAATCATCATAATAAAGATTGGTTAGGTAAGAATCATCAATGGATGCTGAACCAAGAGGGAGGTTGATTGAGGAGGAGTATATGTATATGATCTGAAAGTGTCTCACACAGATTGCTTATTAGTGATTAGGAGAAAAGCAGTAACTACATGGTGGAGAAATTAAACAAAGCCTTGACTAGGTTATCTCAATGAACATCACAAATGAGTGGCAGACGGACATCATGTGCCTCTAGCTGTAATGTACTGAGAAGGATACAACATCATCTATGTAGCATTTCAGTGGGGAATACATAACCTGAATCTAATCAAAAGGAAAAATCAGACAAACAAAAATGAGGAATATTCTATTCTTTTAAAAAGGACCTGATTCTTTAAAAAAGTTAATGTCATAAAAGAAAAAAAGAGAAGGCTGCGGAAGTGTTCTAGGTTAAAGGAAACTAAAGAGACAGGATAAATGCAATATCTGGTCTTAGATAGGATCCTGTGATGGAAGGGAAAAGTAGCATAAACAATTCTTGGGCCAATTGACAAAACTGGGATATGGACCCTAAATTAGATAAAAGTTTGGTATCAATGTTCAATTAATTGAGATTGATACCCATATCATGGTTACATAAGAGAAAAATTCGAATTCTTAGGAAATATAGGGGCCAGCCGAGTGGCTCAGTTGGTTAAGAGCTCACGCAAGAGTTTGAACTCTGAGCAACAGCGGTTTGATGCCCGGCCGGAGCTGAGTTGCTGCTGAGCTGCCAACAGGTGGCAGGATGGCTCAGCTAAAAAAAAAAAAGAAATACAACTGAAGTATAAGTAAATGGCCAGCTTAGTCTCAAATGGTTCAGAAAAAAAATTAAAACTAGGGGTGGAGAAATAACAAATGATAAATGATAAGCCATATGTAGTAAAATGTTAACAACAGATGAATCTATGCAAAGTGTTATTGGTGTTCTGTATATGTATATAATAAATAGCTTTCTACAAGTTTAAGATGATTTCCAAATAAAAAGCTTAAATATTGCAATTTTTGCAATGAAAAACAGAAAAAATACATCATGATTTTTCCATCAATCCAATAAAAGGAAGAAGAAAGGGAACAGGATCATATCAGTGACATATAAAACAGGAGGGAGTTTGTGTGTTCTCATATCAGAAAACCAAAGTAGATAGAAATGCTTATGACTCTGCTTGAAAATAAATAGGGAGTTGGAAATACACTAAAGGTCAAGTTGCAAGATGAAAAAGGGGATGGGAAGAAAGGAGGGCTTCGAGGTTCTTGGGTATTGAGACAGTATTGCTTTTGCAACATTTTGCAAGGCCTTGGTGAAGAACCACGACCAAATAAAAGTTAAAATCCTCTGCTCAACATTGGTATCCAGACATAATAATATAATGATTGGGAAGACTGTATTGTATTTTTCATGATAAGAATTATTTAAAACTGTGTTGTGACCCACTCTCCCACATCCTGCTTGGCTGAGAGAGAACGGCCAAGTGGCAGGTGAAGTGTTGCAACAAATCATCCGTGGCTGCCAGCTGGAGATGGTCCTTTAGGATATTCAGGAGAGGGGGCAAGGCCCTGCAATCACCATCCTTGGAGGAAGGGAAAAGAAGGGGAAGACTGTTCACTGGCAACTGGCCAACAGAGGACATGAGTGCTTTGGGAACCTCTTCTGACTTCCTCCAATAGGATTTAGGAACCATTTACCGGCACACCCAGGAATTGCTACTCCCTCATTCTGAGCCTCAGAGTAGCTTTCTTCCTGGGGTCCATACCCTTTCTTAATAATCTGGGGCCATTCATGTATGTTTTTCTGTGAAACTTCTTATGGAGGGTCTGGAACTCAGGAGTGAGTGAAGTTCCAAAATAGAATGGGCAAAAGAAGCTCAAGTAGAAGGTTAAAAATTAAGGAGGCTTTGAAATCCCTCATCCCAGAAAATAGCCCCAAACTCACACATTTCTCCTTTCACTCTATACTGTCAAGTTGCATGTACAGTGAAGCATGCTCACAATATAAAGACTCTCTTTTATTTTTTTCTCTCCCCCCCCCAGCTTTGAGACATAATTGACAAATAACATTGTATAAGTTTAAGGTGTGCCACACGATGATTTGATATTCTTATGTATTGTGAAATGATTGCCAAAATAAGGTTACTTGTTAACACATTCTTCACCTCACATAGTTACTTTCTTTCTATGTGTGTGGTAAAAAGATGTAAGATATACTCTCTTAGCAAATTTCAAGTATACAATACAGTATTGTTAACTATAGACCCTATTCTATGCAATAGATGCGAGGACTTATTCATCTATATATGTACTTTCTCCATCTGTTGGTCCCTTTCTTGTTTCTCTTTCTGTAGATTGCATGCTCCTGGAGAACATGGACTGAAACTTGTTTGATGATTGTAGTAGAGCAGGTCCCAAGGTAAATGATTGACTGTTTAGTCACTTTATTGAACAGGAGGTATCATAGGGTAGGGCTGAGCTTCTGGGTTTTAGCCAGTCAGATAAATTGGGTTTTGTTCCTGGTTGTGTGACTGACTCACAGGTAGCCTGGGGAAATTATGTCACCTTACATTCCCCACCTACCTGCCCAAGAGAGGAACTCTGTGGAGATTAATTATGAATGAATTCATACTGAGGAAGATAGAGCTCCCTTTCCAAAGAAGGGAACTGTTTATTACGTCTGTTCATTTTGAGCCAAATGAGCAATATTAGGCCAGTGTGTCAAAAAGTCACACATCCGAGTCCTTGGAAGACTCACAGAAGACTTGTGAAGTGTGGCTCCGAGCGATTTTTCAGCAGCAGCTGCCAACTTTCATGTCTATGGGATGACTCGAGCAGTCTCCTTGACTTGCTGAGTCTCTACTAGAAGCCCTTAAAAAGGAAAGTTACTGAAAGGCAATAAGGGCAGAAAAAATGGATTTTTATTTTTCACTTAATAAAGCCACTCTGACTTCATGTATTTTTAAATGTCTGAGTTATTTTTATAATGGCATTGTGCTCTGAAAAAGTCCATTGTAAGTAATGAGTAAAAAATGGATTTCCTAGTTCCTCTCAGTATTAAATATTATAATAGCTTTACATATACAGAAGGTACCAAAAAAAATGTGTACACATTTTTAAAAAGGAAAAAGCTGTATCAAAATTGTAATACTCAATATATACTGATAACAAAAGATGAATGTGGGCTGGCCGAATGGCGTGTTGGTTAAGAGCTAGCTTGGGGGCCAGCCGAGTGGCGCGATGGTTAAGAACTGGCTTGGGACGCCAGAGGGCCCCGGTTCGGATCCCACATATGAGGGCCAGTGACACTGCCCTCTACAGCTAAGATGCTGAACAACAGCTCAACCTGGAGCTGGGCTGCCGTGAGTCGCCAGCGATGGCGTAGGCTGCAGTGAAGCTGAAGTAGGCTACCATAAGCTACCGTGAGTGGCTGGCAGCCGGGGTAAGCGGCCAGCAGCTGGTGTGAGCTGCCAAGAGCCTCCGTGAGCAGCCATCCAGTGGCCGGCAGCCGATCTGCCTCACCCAGGAAGGCGCAATGATAATACCAACATGGGCCAGTGAAGCGACCTCCTCCACAACTAGACTGAAGTACAAAAGGACAGCAACTTGTCTGTTCCCCTTCCCCGATTCCCCAATGCTGTTCCCTCTCCCAATTCCCCAATAAAATCTTTTAAAAAAAGATGAATGCCTCGCTCAAGAGTTTGAGCTCTGAGCAACAGCGGTTCGAGTCCAGCCCGAGCTGAGCAGCCACTGAGCTGAGCTGCCAACAGGTAGCAGGATGGCTCAGCTAAAAAAAAAAAAAAAATTAAAAAATAAAAAATAAATAAAAAAAAGATGAATGCAAGTCATGCGTATACATTTTTTTGGCACCCCCAGTATTATCATCCATCCTCAGAGGAAATGTGCAGTTCATTCAATAAGAGTCTGCTCTACCCTTGGTTCTGTGTCAGGCATTTCTGAGGGAGAGTCAAGCATTAATGCAATAA